CGTCACCAGTCTGTAGAAGTAGATTTCCAAACAGGTCTGAACACACGGTTATTGGTTTTACAAGGTCTTTCGAAACAATCAAACAGGCTACGGGAACAAAAATGAACATAAATGCTGGCTAACTGGCTACCTGAGCTTGCTGCTGTTTACGTTGTGTCTGTGTATTTGTCAAACAACAACTAACATTTATTTAAAAAAATCCTCGTAACAATTTGCACTCAAAATTTTTGAGTAAATTTTACTGCTGTAATATCCAGTAAAAGTTCCTTAATAGTATTAAGTAAAATCTACTTATTTCTGATGGTAACATTTGTGAAAATATTAGGTAAGTGTTACTTAGTTTAACTGATGTTTCACTTTTTATTACACACACAAATTAAGTACAATATACTATATTTTTTGTATACATATACATTTACAACATCAAAATATTGAGTAGATTTTATTTATCTTTGATATTTACTGTCGTAAAATTATCAAGTACTTTTTATCCTGTTTGATCATTTTAATTACTTGGTTGTTTGAAGTTATATTACCTAATTAATTTATGTAAATGTTGCAAATTCTCTTTTGATAAATGTTACCAAATACTATTAATAATCACACGGCTAAAATACAATTCCATTATTTATTCATAAACCTTGTCAGGTACCTTACGTAACACCTCATTTTATACAGCCATGTAGAACTGTACACAAAACAGCAGTCAACATTTCACATGACAAAAAATGAAAGGAAATCTTAGCAGCAGTAAATCAATAAAGCATCAATCAAGCATCAATAAAGAAAAAATGTTTACCTTTACTGAGTGATCATTACGCTATACAGAAAAAAAGCATATCACTGGAAAATCAAAATGTTTTTGACCCCTGGAAGCATTAAACTAAACAGGGCACATGTAATGGGAAAATGATATGTGACCCTTTTAAATGCTTCATTTGTATAACCAGTTTATTAGTTGCAAGTGGTTAGATCACAAAGGCCCTGACATAAGAACTGATGTCTCCCACTTGGATTAGATGGTTCCAGCGTCATAGCTGTAGAGATTGAACAAAGTGTTTGTTATGTCTATGACCACCTTTGTTTTAGCATGTTGGGAGAGCAAGGATACGGTCAAAGAACTGACGTGTCTTACATGGATAAGATGTTCCCAGTACCCTGGCTGTAGATACTCAACAAGATGGTCAAAGGTTTCTGTTGACGCCACCGATATCTAAACTTAGATACAAGAACTGCCTCGATGTGTTGGGGGAAAAAAAGGAGGTTCTTGACAGTCTACTGACCACATAGCTGTTGTGACCCTTTTTCCCTTGCAAGGAAATAAACGGAGAAAAGACATACTTGACTCAGAGCCTTTGTTTCTTACTTAACGATTGTCTGTGCAAAATCTTCCACCACACACATCAGGTGACAAAACAGATTATGAGGGTTTGACCTGACAAAATATGCTGTACTGACATCATTCTAAACATTCTAAACCGCAACAACCATTAACATATTTATATTAGCATTCGGTTAAAACGTTAAAGTTTGAGTACAACATCAAATCCTCTGTTAAAACCTTTAAAACAAAGGTTATTTTTAACTTTTTCTTTACCTTGTGAGCATGAATGACAGCAGTTGCCTTTGTTGACAACATTAGGAACATTTAAGAAAGAAAACTAAAAAAAAAAACTTTAAGGCAACCTGCTAATTGGCTACAAAAGTGCAAGCAGAACAGCATTACTGAGACCCATATTACCACTTACCTTACAAACCATGTTTAAATACACACACAATTCACATTTATCTCTATGAGTGTATTACATTAAACTATTTAAGGCAGCAATTTCAAATTTTTAAGTCTAGTCCCGGCCACATGGGATCAGTCATCACAGACTTTTGGAAAGTTGAAGAAGGTCTCTGCCACCACAATTGACAGTGAAGGATTCATTTAAAAGAAATATGTGGTGTGTGAGTGGAGGGTCCATGGAGTCAGTCTCTGTAACTGTGCAAGTTATTGATGTTACTCCAGCCATTTGCAACATTGAGTTAGGGTTGGCCAGCTAAGACTGCACATTGTACCTTCTGGAAATAGCTTTTAAGACAGCAACTTCAACTTTAAAGATGTACTTTTGGTGACAGCTTTATCCCATTCAGTTCCAGGAAAAGTTTTTGAAACACCTCAAAGGTGTAGCGCAGAGTCAATTGGGGTCTGTCTTCCTGCAGAAGATACATCAAACATACCTGACTCAGTTTATCCAGATGGGGCTTTAGCCTGGTCCCCACAACACCTCCCTTGGCTTTCATCAGGGCAGTAAGCTTTGGTGTATAGTGGTCTAGTTTGTACATGAAGCTTTGCTCTAGAGAAATTGTAGTTATTCTCCAAAACTCCTCCTTGATCTGTAGATCTTGATCTGAACTGTAGAATGGATGAACAATAAAAACAGCAATATTGTGTCATGCATACATGCAGTGTATTTGTACTTGCCTAATCACAACGGTGCAGTATTTGATTAGTCACTGAACAGCCCAGCGCTCCTGACTCTCTCTGGTCACCTCATGTCCCAGCCGGCTAAATACAAAAACAGTCACCTGTGAATGAAAACACATATTTTTAAGGGCAATTTATAATTTATAGATTAATTTACAGCCATTTTCTACGGTTGTGTTTGTCTCTTGACCGTGGCACGCAGCTTCAACCGCCATGTTAAAAGTTGAGATGATGTTTCGAGGTGAAAGCACATAGAAAATAACTAAAAAAACGAAAAACTTTGGCGTAGCGTTGTGTTATATTCGCGCTACATGAGACAAAATACAATAGCTCTGAATAAGATAAAGTATCTCGCAAATTAACCGCACGGTGTGCGACTCTGGTGGAATGAACTGGCTAATAACTAGCTAGCTAGCGTCAAGCTACATCACACAAACCTTGGGAGTGTAGACCGCTCGGTATGCAGTCCATACAGTGCTTCAAACTAATCACCAAAAGCGTTTTAAACTGATAAGAAATTATTTTATGGATAAAGCTGTTACTTACCTGAGAGATTCCGGAGATATTCACAACTCTGTCTGCTGCCAACGAACGAACGGACAATGGACATCTGCGCGGTACTTTCGTTTGTCCCAATGCGCATGCGTTGATTCAAACGCACTCTAAAATAGTGTTGTAAAATTTACTCAGTATTTTAGTGTTTCTAGCAGAGACTAAAAAACATTTAAATGTTATGAAAACATCCATAATAAGACTTACTCCTTCCACACAGCCATTTTAAATACATAAATAAATTGTGTACATACATGTAATTTTACTTGACAAAATCTAGTTCCCGCAGAAACGAAAAATAATTGTAGACATTAGGACAGTTTAATTAGTATATTTTACTACACCACCAAGTTCGTTTTTTCAGTGGTGATTGGACTGATTTGGGCTGATGTCTCTCTTTTCTCACCGTCTGACAACCAGAGGAGGGGGAGGGGATACCGATGAGGATGACTACGTAAAAATGTAGCCGAAAGGCAATCTGGGTAGTTGTAGGGGTGAGAAGCCCTTTTTGTTCATCTTGTTTTCCCCTGTTCATTTGTCAGGGAGAGTGCCACTGTAAGATAAATGTCATTGTGGGATGCGTGTTACCATGTTGTGTTAGACCAGGGGTCTCAAACTCAAATCAGCTGCGGGCCAGATGCAGCCCACTTCAACTGAACGCGGGCCAGACTAGCATCCGAACGGCATGGTCGACAATAACACAACTTAACACTCACTTTCAAAAGCAGTCATTGAACCCCACCCTGGGGGATCGGTCCGAATGAGACTACAACACTAGTCCTCCTTTAACTCAGCGGGGGAGACCTAAGGTCATGTGACCGTGGAATTCCTTTATAGCCAAACGTGAAGTTACGTGAATCGAAGCTGCGTAGTAATGGACGGAGATGCTCGTCGGTGACGTCAGATGCTTCATGTGTTGTTAGTGTGAGTCGTAAAGGAAAACTTTATTAAACGAGCGATGCTAACGGTTAGTCACATGATCACCTGCGCGAAAGAGGGCAGGAAACTGAATTTCACCCTCCTGCTCTCTGCACCTCAGCCGACACACACGACCCGCCCCCCATGTCACATGCATGCCACGTTCACTGGACAAGCACACAGTAGGAAACCAGAACATCATAACATGTCCCACACAGCATCTCACAGTGGGGTTACAGTATAAAACTTGCGGGCCGCACTAACATTACACTTTCATATCAAGGATGGGGGCACAAAATATCGTCCCGAGGGCCGCAATTGGCCCGCGGGCCGCGAGTTTGAGACCCCTGTGTTAGACGGTTCCTGTGTTGAGGCTGTTTGCCCAATTGTTTTGGTGTTTAGCAGTCTGATTTTCTAAATATCTATAACATTGGACACTCCCCTTGCTCTCTTTCTGTATAAAGAAAATGTGCTCCTCTTGAACTTTTTTTCCCCTCTTACGATGACTGTGTGCCTTATCTCCGCAGAATAGGAATTCTCAAAAGAAAACTGCTTTTTTTTCCTTTGCAGGAAAAATGTTAGATACAAAAAAATTATGGATTAATTAAGAAATGAATCAACAGTTATATAGAAATAGGACCAATACTACTACGTGGTAATAATGATACAGACTCCATACTTTTACAAGGCAAGGTAATTTTATTTGTGTAGCACATTTCAACAACAAGCCAATTCAAAGTGCTTCACATAAAATCAATAAAAACATCCAAACAATAAAACAAAGTTAATAACAATAGTGCCAACATTCTGAAATGCTGAAATGTTCAATTAGAGGCAGCAGCAAACAGAAAAGTCTTTAATCTGGATTTAAAGGAGCTGAGGGACTCAGCAGACCTGCAGCTTTCTGGGACTTCGTTCCAGATACGTGGAGCAGAAAAGCAGAACACTGCTTCTCCGTGTTTAGTTTTAACGCTGGGAACAGAAAGTAGACCCGTCCCAGACGACCTGAGTGCTCATAAGGTCTCAGCAGATTGGACCCAGCCGGTGCGTTATAAACCAACCGCAGGATTGTGAGGTTACTTCTTTGTTGACAGGAAGCCAGTGTCGAGACCCGAGAACTGGACAGATGTGATGCACTTTTCTGGTGACGACTCGAGCTGCAGCGTTCTGGATCAGCAGGAGCTTTCTGATTGACAGATTTTTTTTACACAGACATGTAAACACATCATTACAGGAGTGGAGTCTGCTGAAGGTAAATGCATCGACAAGTTTTTCTAAATCTGGTTGAGCGATAAGTTCTCTTAATCCTTTATATATTTTTTAGGCTGATTTTCTAACTTTGTCTTGATATGTCTTGACCTTTCCCTGCACGAAAGGTCCGAATCCATAATTCCACCTAGATTTTCTAGCTTTGTTTGTGGTTGGAGCTCAGTGCTGACTTTCAATCGTTCATCCTTGTAACCAAAAAAAAAAACTTCTGTTTTATCTTTGTTTAATTGAAGAAATTGTTGATTTGTGCAATGCATTTAGTCGGCCCCTGTATTGGATTGTAGTCCCCTGGTGATGCAGCTGGCTAGATTTGCGTGTCATCTGCAAAGCTACGATTAGTTGTTGGTAATTGCAGACCGAATAATATTGCAGGAAACACTCCCTCGTTTTTTTCTCTGTTCCCCAATCATGCTGTGCTGAAAGCACTTCATTGTCCAGCGGGTCCATGCGCTCCTCAACGTGAGTCACCATCGTTTTTTCGTTGGTCACCGTAAACATGCCCATCTTACCTTGACCTCTTACCTCCTACCTCTTGCCATTCTCACTTGAGTGGATTTATAGGGGGAGGTAAACATCGAGGGAAGATGTGCGTACTACTCTCATACTCTCTCCCTCCACTTTAAAGAGGGTGTTCGTGGGCGCTATCGGCAGAAAGTTTGTGGAGTGGAAGCACCGGGACAGAGTGCAGCACCAATGGTAAGTGGCTTTAAAATTCAAACAACTTGTTTTTTTTCATGAAGAATTATCTTCCAATGTTGACACTATTAATGTTCTGCAGCTGCAATGTGTAACATATCACATTTTGATTATTTACAATAATGTGACTTTACATGTGACTCATTTATACTTTATGGTCGTAGTACACTTCCACATTTAACTTGATGTTCCTTATAATAGCTTTGTTCATGTTTGACAGTAAATAGAGCATTAAGATCCCAGCTTTCAAAGAGTCTTTCTTTTCTGTGTTACAATTGAAAACAAAACAAAAACAATCATACGGTGAAAATACATTTTCTTTATGACAAAACTCCACAGTATATCTTCAAGTTACAGGGTCTGAATGGTAAATTGACTACATTTATAGCAATAAGACTCTCATTCACGGTCGCACACCAATGTTAGTGAGCTGCCCTGTAATGTGCCAGACTAACCGTTAGAGGCCGCTGGAGGTCCAGTGTTTTGCTTGAGGAATCTCTGACATGTGAACAGCTGTGGCTCTACCTCCAGCTGAGCGCGGCTCTCTGGGGAAATTACATTGTGGAACAAGTAATACAGGTTATGTTTTTAAACTTATAGAGGAGTAAAATCACCAGTAATATTGGAAATCACAAAGAGCGATACCCTGTTTTTGCATTTTACCACAAACTAGTGTGGTAAGTCATTACATTTGAAATGTCCAAATCCCACAGTTATCACTAAGAATAAATTACATACCGTAAATGTGTCACTCAATGAAAAGTCTCCACTTGACTGTAATTCACAGATCAACTGAACATCTGGATCCACCAAATCCGAAGGCAGAGGTCATTAAAGTAAAAATAATGGAGGAGCATCAGCCTGCAGGCTTGTTCCTGGCCGACTACGCAGTCTTTTCTGCCATGTTGTTGGTCTCTATGGGCATCGGCCTCTTCCAGGCCCTGAAGAAGGGGCCTGGGGAAGCCACTGCTGATGATTTCTTCACTGGGGGTCGGAGCATGCCGGCAGTGCCTGTTGGGTTGTCGCTCTGTGCAAGTTTCATGTCGGCAGTCCAGGTTCTGGGTGTTCCTTCTGAGGCGTCTCGCTACGGATATAAATTCCTCTACATGTGCCTCGGACAAAGCATCAGTTCCCTGCTGACAGCTTACCTTTTCCTGCCAGTTTTCTACCGACTGGGAATCACCAGCACCAATCAGGTCATGTTTGTTTAGATTTGATGTATTATTTTTTATGGAAGTAGGTGTAGAATGTAGACCAAACTGCAAACCTCACTTTTCAAGAGAGTCATGTTGAAGAGGCAAAGTATTGTGTTTCTAACCAATGGAGGGATGGATTCTTCTGTCAATATTCTGGGAAGAGCCTGTGTGGCTGATGTGTGGGATGAATATAAGAGGTGAGGAAAGATGAGGAATGTGTCCAGAGATACTGTGCTGCGTTGTAACCGTTGCTGTCTGCTGGTAATAGTATCTGAAGCTGAGATTTGGCCACGGGATGCAGCTGTTGGGGAGTATCCAGTTTCTGGTGGCAACGGTATGACAGACCTCACTTTGTTCTCGTATTCAAATCAAAGTTTTATTGAGTGGTTTAAAAGAAAATGTCACATATTTAATCCACACATGCATCCTTGTTCTTCCCAGCTGCTTTACACGGGGATCGTCATCTATGCACCTGCCTTAATCCTCAACCAAGGTAAGAAAGATCAAATGCTTCTCATCTCTCTGCAATTCAAAACCAGGGAGATGCTTATACACAATAAGATCCATTTTAGTTTATATTGGTTGGTTAAAAATCCGATCCAAAATAGGCTAGTTAGACAGTCTTCTTCTGTTTCGGCAATTATATTTTGGGAATGATATGGTGCTGATGTTTCTGATTATAGCTTGCTGTCAAAAAAGTGTTAGTAGTCTCTAGTCTTCTATTATAATTAATTGTTACGTTTTATTAGTGTACCACAAAATAAAGTACACCTGTCATGCTTGTTTAAGAATAAGATGGTAAATTAACCATATACCACACTTTTTTTTTAAGCTACTGGACTCAATATGTGGGTGTCTCTGTTTTCTACTGGGATCATTTGCACACTATACACTACGCTGGTAAGGAGCTGTTTTTTCTTGCATTTTATCGACACAAACTGGTTCTTAAGGAGACACAGGTTTCTGTTTTAGATTAAGATAGTGTAGGTAAAAGGTTGTGAGAAGTTAAAATACAGTATCTGATCTAAAAAAACTTTAAACTTATTACGTTTGTTAGAGGAAGCAAATTCTGGAGGAAGGAAGTGATCATGTGGGATTAATCAGTTTATCAGTAATAGTGCAAACGTTATCTCATGTTACAGGAATAGAGTGCATTTTATAAATTTCAAGGTCGAAATTCTGATGTTTGATTGATGTTTCATCAAACGAGTTTGTTAGGTGATCAAACAATGTTTGAAATCCCCTTCCAATTTTTGTGGATGTTTCAAAAAACATACAACTAGCACACCTGCCTGTCTGTTTCTTCCTTCCCCTGTCTGTAACAGGGGGGCATGAAAGCTGTGATCTGGACTGATGTGTTCCAGATTATAGTCATGTTGGCTGGCTTTGTGGCCATTTTCATCCACGGTACAGTTCTCGTTGGTGGTCCTGCAACGGTGCTGGAAATCGCCAAAAATGGATCGCGCATTAATTTCAATGAGTAAAAACACCATTTATTTACTTTCATTCCATTTCAATGCATGAAAATCTGGATGACCCAACATTACTGTTTGACACATTAAGATTCTCACACCATAGCATATCATCATTGTTCAAGTACCCTTTTATAACGATGCATCGATTTATGATTATTCCTGGCTGATATGAAAAATTGCTAAACTGAATATATTGTATATTACAAAGCATACGGTGTAAGCATACGTACATATTCATTCCTTAACCGGGTAACCACTGGTTGACAAATGCAAAAATCTTAATTCAAGTTCCACTCACTAAGTTTTTCTGGAGTTTCCAGCCCGCTATCACGTTCTTCTTGGTGACCAGGTTTTTCTCCAGTTGTCATCACAGCACAGAAGTCCCATACTAAAGTCAAGTGACACATCAGGTGGTTGTATATGGGAAGAAATTGTAATTCCCGCCTCTGCATCCATGACTTGCCGTCAAAAGCTCTGAAAAAAGTTATTAAGTGGACCTGGATTCAAGGTTTTTGTTTTTGGGAAAGTAACCCTTCAAACGTCAGATGTTTTAGGAGAAAGAGCCTGTAAAGTGTCACTGATTTGTTTGACAATGTTTTGCACCAGTTTTAGTGTCGACCCACGTCAGCGCTATAGTTTCTGGAGCTTGTCTGTCGGCGGCGCATCGGTTTGGCTGTCCATGTACGGGGTGAACCAAGCTCAAGTCCAGCGCTACATCTCCTGCAGAACAGAAAAAGATGCCCAGTGGTGAGTGGAGACCTGTTTTTCAATCACATGCAAATCTATCAGGCATTAAGAACGGTGGTTTGAAAGGTTTCATGAATTTTATTGAGGTTTTTCTCAATAAGTTCAGAGATTGTGGAACACAAACATGTAGCATCTGTGAAGTGACCTTAAGGTTTCTAAGGAGCCTTTTTAAAAGGATTTGTTTCACGTCAGGTTAAATACATCCCTTACAACAGCAAGTCGGGTCATCTTAGGATTTGTTTGTTTGTCAGAGACATGTTATTTCCATAAACTGTGTTTGGATAAAAGTTGGCAGCAGAGCAGATTTTCATTATTTGAACAGGTGTCCACATATCAGCATGATGTTTGTCTTAGGTTGACGTTACAAATTCGACATTCACTTTCTGAAGGTGAAAATACTCCTAAACTAGCTCCAAGGGAAATGCATCACTTTTTCATACATTGTTGCATTGCAAATAGTCATATAACATTTTAAATGTTGTTTTAAGTATCCTTTCTAATCATATTCATGATATTCAACTGTAAAATGATTCCTAACGGGCTGTTTTAATTAATTAAGTTGAGTTGACAGTCAAGTCTTTAATTTACATACACGGCATTAAGGAGCACCTAATTCCTCCCAAAAACGTAAAGATTACATAAGCCCCTCAAATGAGAGATTATATATTATTAAAACAATTATCAGGCAAATCTAAAGTTGTATCTTTCAGACACGAATGAGTAGTGAATATGGTCCAGCAGTGAAGCTGGGTCATTTAATGATGTCTGCTTTTGATTGCAGGGCGCTGTTTGTGAATCAAGTGGGTCTGTGTCTCATCGTGAGCAGTGCAGCAACATGCGGCATTGTCATGTTCGCCTATTACATCAACTGTGATCCACTGAAGTCCGGGATTATTTCTGCCCCAGATCTGGTACTGAAGGCCCTCGTATGATGACAAGAACATGCTGCAGCATAGTGTTAAAAATGATTGAAAGAGAAACATCTGTACTGTACGTGTAGGAAATTTGACTAAGGTACTAAATGTGCAATTATATTTCAGATGTTTGCATGGGCTATCTACCACTTGCTTCGATTGTAACGTCATAAAGGGCAGCAAGCTGGGAGCCGTTTTATAGATAAACTCAAGATAAAGAATTTAAAAAAACTTTTTAGTGGTTGGTGACCGTAAAAAATATTTGCAAATAATTCCTTTCCCTTTCTGTAGCATTTATTTTTTGTTTGTCCGTACTGTTTCCCTCTCTCTCTCTCTCTCTCTCTCTCTCTCTCTCTCTCTCTCTCTCTCTCTCTCGTCTGATGAAGTACATGCCGTACTTTGTGTTGGACATATTCAGAAATCACTCTGGATTTCCAGGTCTTTTCCTCGCCTGCGCATACAGCGGCACGCTGAGGTAATCAATCGTGGATTCCCTCCTTTTAAATGGACAGCTTGTCACATTTACGATGAACGTGAACAATCTGACAAAAGCTTTGTGTTTAGGCTGGGACGGATACTTTATTGACACTACCTTAATTTCCAGTGCAATTCATATGGAGACTTTGCTCCTGTACGGAATGTACTTACTCCTCTGGCAAAGTGTTCTCTCTTTTTTAAAAGCTCATGAGATCGTCTTACTACTTTTTACAGTGACTGAATTGAGCACTCACAAGAGTAGTTCATTGTTGTAGTAAAATCTTAAAGATAACCATCATATTTGTAGGTCAAAGTGATTCCCTAACCGGCTTGGAAAGGGAAGGCTGAGCTGAGCTGAGTAAAGTTGGTGGCAACTTGCCACAAACCACTAGATGCCACTACAACTTACAAACTGTCCCTTTAATGAGAAACACTTTGTACATTGTTCATTTACAAAGTTAATCTACTCAAGGACAGTACTTAAGTATAACTTGCTGTACTCATTAGTAGTATGTCATGCTACTGCTACTTTCATGCTAATGTTCTACTCCGTTACATTTCTGAGGAAAATATTCTACTCCGTGACATTTATTTCAAAAGTATAGTAACTTGTTAAAGAAGCACTTTTACAGTCAATACTTTATGCCAACTGAGATTAACATAAAATGGCCTTTTATGTTTCTAGATCAAAAAATATTTTCTGTTTTTTTATATGATAATCCATTGTTTCTTCCTGCAAAACAAAACATGTGCTTACGTAGTACCGATCAATTTCGACCAACAATGAAATATAACAATAAATAAATCTGACAATATAAACATGTTTAAACACTCTGCTGTCATTAGTGACTGTAATATTCATAAGAAGGCAAACCGATAGCACAGTACATATTATAATGCTGTTGTGGGACATTTGATGACCACATGTCTTTTTCACAGCACGGCCTCTACGAGTATCAATGCGATGGCTGCGGTAACGATGGAGGATCTGCTGAGGCCTCGTCTGCGCCTAGTGACCCAGAAGAAATTGATACTGATTTCGAAAGGATTGTGTAGGTCAATACTACAAATGCATTAAAAAAAAGACATATTATTTGTTGTACCCTTGCGTATATTCTTAAAACCACTATTCTGTTAAAACCGACCGAGACCACAATACAAGGCAGACAACTTGATTGATTGGTGCATACCATTACTTCTTAGAATACATAATTTAATAACATGTCCTACTTGACACCAACGATGTAATAGATAGATATATACATTATTAATAGATGATACTTACCCGTGCTGTTTTTGGAACTAATTGATTTGTGGGTTTTTTTAAGCTTTTCTGTACGGAGTTGGTTGTATCACAGTGGCTGCTCTCTCTTCCCTCCTGGACTGGGGAGTTCTTCAGGTATAATATCTAAATAGTACTATCCACCATCGCATGATACCTAATCTATGTATGAATATAATAGGAAATGCACAGTAAAGAATTGACCTTTTTGGATCCAGAGCTGCCTTTATCTTTCCTATTCAGGGGTCCTTCACAGTAATGGGTGTGGTCAGTGGTCCAATACTGGGTGTATTCATTTTGGGGATGTTTGTCCCAGCAACAAACAGGCTGGTGAGTGGAAGGAGGGATTTTCCCTGTGTTGTGCACTGTAGTTAATTTGTTTATTCTCTTATTAAGACAAACCAAAGGAAAGACTGTCTCAAAAAGTTGTGCAAAGTTGGTTTTCCCTTTCTTTAAATCAGTCACACCACTTTTCAAGGTCTGCAGTTATCAACAGCAATAAATCATTTTCATGAATGCTTTCCCTGAATTTAGCCGTTAAGGTTGTATATGATTATATGTATAGTGTGTTTTTAGAACAGAACAGAAAACCAACCATTAGATGGAGACAGGTGTTCATAAATATATTTATAGATATGTATAAATATATTTATAGATATATATTGATATAGAAGTGCAACTCAGGTGTGGAATCCTGTTTCCCTAAAACTGCCCCGCGTCTTCTGTTAAATGTTGTTCCTGGTCTTTCAGGGGGCATTCTCTGGATTCTTAGTGGGCTTCTGTGGCTCTCTGTGGCTCGCGGTTGGTACAACTCTTTACCCTCCCAGTGAGGAGACCATGGGTGTGCTGCCCAGCTACACCAGCGGGTGTGGACTGAGCAACATCACCGTGAACAGCAACAGCCCTCCCCAGGAACAACACTCCATCTCCACACTGCATTTCCCCGATCAACAAGGGTCAGTGAGTTCAGCAAAGCCTGCACCGACACGGAAAGTTTTCATGTGGTTTACAATGTCAACGGTGGAGATTACAGTATAATTACGATGTATTTGTTCTAAAAAGAATACAAATATAAAAGATGAATGATTTCATTGAAGTAGTAATAAACGACATTGAGAGCATTAATATATCAGCTCTAACTATTTGATATCTAAAGATATAGTGGAATAATGTCTACCTACGCACTCACTGCCCCCTCACTGAAATTCAACCTGGTATAGAACTAGGTTTGTGTTATAACTATACATTTAAAAAATATTTGACTAAACTATATTTTCTGAAACTAGGGGCTTGCTTGATTTCTACTCCGTGTCCTACCTCTATTTTGGTGCCATAGCAACAAGTTCGGTCGTGCTAGTTGGGCTGTTAGTGAGTTATGCAACAGGTAAGAAGATAAAAAGACACAAGGATAAGTTCAGAACGGCTTTAAATAAACTACCCTAAGTAGCAATGCCATGCAACACAAATTCCTGTGCATTTTATGATACTACATCAGAGATGTGATTTAACTGGGTTAACACTTCTGTCTGTTGTTATTTGTGGTTAATTGCAATTTAATTGTTAATTGTTTGTTTACAATTCTCTACACACAGGGCCAACACAGAGGAGTCATATTAAAGAGGGTTTGTTATGGTGGGATCTGAACAAAACAGAAATAGAGGTCGCATCAGAGCACAGAGTAAGTACTATATCACAAGTTCGTAACTTTGGTGCCCGTTGCTTTACTTCAGCAGATCGACCTTCAGAATGTCTAAACACAAGGATAAAGTATTAAAGTAATAGTGTTTCCTATTGTTTTAACACAATAATCTTTTTTTGCAGCGAAACGTGCTTAAAGACCGACCACAGCTTGTGCCTCTGAGGGACATGCGAAAAGAAGACGCAAAAGAAGAAACAACAGATGTTGGGAATATTGAATCACCACTCAGACTTAAAGTGATGAACAGCTATTAGTCATCTCCATGCATCTTACCACTATTTCTTACACACTCAATTGTCTTAATTCTAGTTTTTGTCTCTTCTAAAGTCTTCTCCATATTTGGACATATGTTTAATAAAATATGATTTTAAAATAATCCTTCAAATGTTATTCGATAATGAAGGTCTTTATTGTTGTGCCAAGGAAGCCATAGGCTGACCAAACAACCTTATTATCCTAGTTATTTGAATTATTGACATGCTAAAAGGCTCTTTCATCCCAACATTCATTCTGGTATGTTGCATATCTCTAGCAGTGCACACCTGCACTTCAACCAGTGTAAATGGATATGTGACGGGTGGACTGGAGTAAACTGAGTATTTTTCCTTCACTTACAAATGGGAGCTCTGCTATGCAGGCAATGCCTAGTAAGGCTTTCCACGTAAACATGTACTGCAGGAAACGGTGTAAATCAATTATAGTATATAGTTCCCACATGGGCGGCTTCAGTTGAGACCTGCAGCAGGTGGCGCTTATTGTCTAGGATAAGATCCAATAAAACATCTATAGCATTGTTGCAATAAGCTACTCTTGTGGACAGATGACTGACAGAATATTGTAGATAAATAAATATTTTCTTGAACTTGAGTCGTTGCAACTGTTCATACAGTATATGTCTGGTAAGCCACATTGTAAGCATAATTAATCTGTGACTACATTCATGCATGAAAGAAGTGTGTTTATATTGTGTACCAATGTCAAATTAGGAAGTGTTGGAAGGGAACATGTCGTATTTCTGTTTGTTAGTTTTGCATGTTTCTTTACTTTTGAATATGTTCTCAAAACATAATTTAATTTCTGTGGTATTTTAAATTGAAATGTTGTGCCTATTTCATTTGTCTTGCCACTCTTTACTTTGTCTTAACACATCTTTATAATGTTGAAAATATGGTCTTTGGAGTGGTACTTTTTTATTTATGTTCAAACTGTTATGGATCATACATTTATAGGTTTTAGATTAAGGTTAAAGGAAAATAGCTTAACATTTAGGAACCTCATTTACATCATACTGGTATACATTGTAGGTCAATTACAATTTCTATTAAAATGAGAATCCAGTTCTCAATTTAAGGCTATTCAAAATAAGAGAAAACAGCAAGAAACTATGGGATTATATCCTGCCATTCCTAACGGTATTAAGGTGTATTATTGTATATTTTGGTGTATACTGACATCTGGTGATTAAATAGCATTTGAATAGTTCCGATGCACACACACACACATGGATACACACATTATGGCTGCCAGATACGTGTAACCAGTAAAGTAGCACTTCCCATCACACGGTGGTCATTTATTGCATTTTCTTAACTGTTCACCCATCCTCATTATACAAAAGTTTGCATACAATGTCCAGACAATCGATATTCCAAAACAAATCGGCAGACCTAACAGAAAATCACTTGTTTTTCCTTCCGTAATGTTATCGCATTGTGCTTCCCTGCACCATCGGTCCCCGGTCCCTCAAACACCTCCATGCCGCGGCGCTTCACCACTCCTCCGCGGCCCTGTTCGAGTCCTCGTCCGCTACCGCGCAGTCCAGGCGCTGGACGCCGGGAAGCGCCAGGTCCCTTTCGTTTATCTTCTCCAGAAACGACGACAGCAGGCGTTTGTTTAAATGGTCCGTCAGGGTCCTTTCCTCTTCCACCCGCTCCTCGTCGGCGGTTCCGGCCGAATCCAGCTCGCCCGCCTCGAGCTCCGCGCCGAGCTGCGGAGGGGCCGACCGGTGGCTCAAGGACGAGCCGTTGGACCGCTCGTCCTCCCCGGACCGCCGCTGCTCGGCGCACCGCCCGGCCTCCGCCCCGGATTCCGTCTCCATCTGTGATATCAAAGTGGTCTGCAGGGCGGCATTCTCCAGCTGCTTGAGGCGTTTACTGTGGAGGCCGCAGGCGGGAGGTTCAACTCCAGTCGCGGTGTTGTTGTTGCTGTGAGGTTGCTCGCCAGTTTGCTCCATCATGCTCTGCGTCAGGAGTGCAGCACACGGAAATGAGAGGCCTATGTGGCGCAGACTGGGAGGTGTCGCCCCCCTGTGGCTACCGTTGTTATTGCACCACCGACGGACACCGACGGACACCGACGGTGGAACAATGTTGTAGGATACTCCATAAGGCATGTGTGCGTCGTGACAGTATAAACGTATAGAAATAAAAGAAACAAACTATTTTATGCAGTGGTGGGATGTGCTTTTATTAGGCATGTTAATACTTCACTGGAGTATTTCCATTTTACAGCTGTTTCCTGTCAAGGTAGGATTGCTTTAGGTGGAAGTATTACATTAATTAAGATGGAAGAACTCAAGTACAAGTACATTCGAGTTATACTAAAGTACTAGAGCTATGTAGAAAAATGCCCCCCGATGTCAATATAATTATTATTCTCATGACCTTTCTTCTTTATTATTATTGTTAATATTAATGTCTTTAGTATGAGTATTGTATATATTATATAATAATATAATATATTATTTATTATATTAATTGTTGTTCATTATTGTTATAACAAATACTTCTTTTCACCCAGAACCCCCAAAAATCTTTCTTTGGTCAAGGTTGAGGTTCTATCAACTCTATAATCAAATCTACCTCAAATCATATTAATGCTGATTAAATACCCAAATCAGACGTAATATGCAAATGTTCCTAACGCCACTGTAAATCAAACACAGCCTTTTTGCTAGTCTTTTAGACCTCGTTGATTTACCGTACAACAGGAATATATATTCAAAGAGTTGACAATCTATGTCATGAGGTAATAAGCTTATTGTTATATTGTGTGTGGCAGTTACACAGAAAAGACAATAAAATGATATATACTGAGGAAAATACGGCAGGTCTGGGACACCGTTAAAAGTATATGTGAACAAAGTGCTCAAAAGGAGAAATTATTATTTAATTTGACAAGGACGACTGGACTTTAGGACGAATGTATACTGGAAACCTGACGGTGGCACTACTGCAACATCGTCAATAATAACTGCCGTAAAACACGAGAAGAAGAAAAAGTAAAGAAGTAGAAGAAGAAGAAAATAGCACAAGCCTGTGTTTCCATAGCGACCATTAATGGTCGACGCGAATGGCCACCTAGCCCAGATACAACAACGACGGGTAACAACATCATATCAGCCCCGTAAGCACGATATTTTGCGTTGGCAAACTCGTTAATCAGATACTTCAAAAAACAATCTCTTGTTACAGGCTATTGCAGTTAGCAACGGGCGACGTCCTGACGTTACCATCCAACGTTAGCTCCGAGCTCGCCAGGCTATTTAATAAAAACTCCGCGGTTACAGTAACGTTAGTCAAATGGACGTTACAGTTACGCACTCGGTTGCCGGTCGAACGACGCTATCTAACGTTAACCATTAAATCGACACTAAAAAAATAAGGATTACGTGAAGGTTTTTCCCATCACCACTAAATTGTGATGTGGGTTTGTATTTATTGTCTAACTAACGTTAGTCATGTCAGGTGTATTTGTATAACTCAACGTTATGTTATGTTCTCAAAATGTGTCTCTGAGGACTTTGTGGTCTTTCAGCATATCTCGACCAGTCTTATATTGTACAAACATCTGTAACGCAAAGTCAGTAGCTAATGCTGGGTTAACGTTGGCTTTGAATAACCTTATATTATCTCTACTTTGCAGCGTGGAGAGGAACCCTTGCATATTCTGCTTTACATTTTGTTAAAAATGTCCTTCAGAGACTTAAGAAGTAAGTGATTGAATCCAATCAACATTTTAGCACTGCTGAAAATGTGTGTTTTTTGTACTTCTGTAACAATTGAAATTGAAAATGTGTCAGATTTCACAGAAACGATGAGAGCTTTGGGCTATCCTCGGTTGATATCCATGGAAAACTTCAGAACACCAAACTTCACTTTAGTGGCAGAAATCCTCATATGGCTTGTAAGGAGGTAACGTTATGCTCCAACTACACACTATGGATCCATCAAGTTGTAACCACTTAATAACCTTTTTTTGCCATAACTTTACACATGATTTTGTGTTGATTCAATTAATAGTAATACTTCTCAAGAAAGAGGAAATGCTCGCATTTTTTAGTTTGATGTAGTTCTAACTTGAAAATTTCTTTACGTCATTTACTTTTAAGACACATTTTTTTCCCACTTTCTGGATCGGATGTCTTGTTTTCACTTGGATCAGCCAAAACGATATGTTGACATATATTTTGCTCTTTTCATGTGTCTCTCCATCCATCTCTTGTTTCCTTTTTATATAGATACGAGCCTCAGATGGACATTCCCACAGATGTTGATACAGAGTCAGACAGAATATTTTTTATCAAGGCAGTGGCCCAGTTTATGGTAATGTATTTTCTTGAATTCATATAGAATGTACAGATTACTCTGAGATATTTAAAGAAAGGCGTGTTGTTAGTCAGTCTGTTTTTAAACAGTGTTACTCGGTTTCAGGTAACAAAGGCTCACATCAAGTTGAACACAAAGCGCCTCTACCAGGCTGATGGCTACGCAGTGAAAGAGATGCTGAAGATTACTTCAGTACTGTACAGCGCTATGAAAACCAAGCAGATGGCCTTGGCAGACGCAGCTGAGGAGGACAACAGCAAGTTCAAGTTCGACCTCGGATCACGGGTGGGAAGTGATTTTTACACACAGTATACGTAGTCCTTTTTAATCTCAATAACCTAATAACTACGCTATTAGTTTTAAGAAGTCTTACATTGAGTGCCATTCAATTAGATTGGTTTGTATTAGCTTTTATTGCAACCCCTCATGTGCTCACCATCTAGTTGGTCCAACCCACATGCATGTAGATAATGAAACAGTCAATAATATGTGTTTGACACACCTTATGCTATATTTTCCTCTAATTTAATTCACCTTCTATTCCATATTATATTTTAATCTATCTAGTATCAAATCCAAATTGAAAGAAAAAAATCCACTGTTGCTGATTAGGTCTCACTCTGTCTCCCCTTTTAGATTTCAGATCTCAAAGCAGCTCGGCAGCTAGCATCTGAGGTCACGTCTAAAGGAGCTTCTCTGTATGATTTGCTGGGAAAAGAGGTCGATCTAAGGGTGAGGGAAACAAATGAACAGATAATAATTATGTTTTCCACTTTGAAGGCAAAGCTTCATATTCATATATATATATGTGTACTTTAGGAAACAGCGATTTTATGAAAATAGATTTGGATTTCTAATTTTAAACTGAATTGTTATTTTCTCAAACAACTTTTGTCTTCAAGACAAATTTGACCTAAAACTGTCATTATTGAAACTTTTTAACCCTTAGTTATTTGTCTGTGAGTGCTAATGAGGCTGGTAGTATGATGTAAATTTGTTTTCTTGTTTTTTGCAGTAAGCCAAAGCTGCTGCTCTCAGATGTTCGCCCCTGTACAATTTGTAATGTGGTCTATTTGAAAAGACTGGTGAAAGTGATGCTGTCTGTGCGTTCAATGTTGCAACAGGAAAAGAGAACTGCGTCCATCGCCAGACCTCTGGAGATCAATGGAACTGAAAAGGCCCTAAAAGCTGCCATCAAGGAGGTTTTGGTATGTATTCATCATGACTATGCACAATTTTTGAATATACGTACACCTGTTTTTCCCTATGAAAAGGCACTGAATCTCTCGCCATGCATTTGTGTTCATGTCAAGGGAAGTGTGGAGAAGACAAAAGACATGCTGAGTAACGTTGTTTCTGATGAAACCAGTCTGGACGCAAAGATAGAAAAGAAGAAACAGGAGCAGGAGAGGAATCTGAAGAGGCTCCAGACGCTGCAGAGTGTCAGGTCAGTTATCTACCCTAATAGCTGGCAGACGTGCTCAATGACCACTGCAATATCTAACTTTTTAGCCATCTTACTCTTCTTTTTTCAAGTCTTTAAATAGGCTTTGAAATGTTGTTTTTTCTTTATCACAATTTATTTTAGGCCGGCCTTCATGGATGAGTACGAGAAGATTGAGGAAGATCTGCAGAAGCAATATGAAACCTTTGTGGAGAAGTTCAGAAACCTCTGCTTCCTGGAGTCTCAGCTGGATGAATACCATAGAATGGAGCAGGAGAGGTTTGAGGTGTGTGTGTGAGTGTGTGTGTGTGTGTGTGTGGTTGCGTTTGTATGTATGATACGTAATCTATTTTTTCTTGTGAATGAACTTTCTAATGTACTTATTTTATATTTCATAAAACTCTGACCTTTCAAGTGCCAAATAAATGCAGCCCAATATTCTTTCCACTACAGGAGGCTGAAAACACACTTCGAATGATGCAGCATGCATTGCAGGAGGAGGAGGAAAGGGATCTGACCAAGAGCTCCTGTGAGACAACCTGATGAAGCAAAGCAATAGTCACACAATCCAAACCACGTTTATGATCTCACACACTTGTTTTCTGCAGTGAAAGACGATGATTCTGACATGGACGTTCCAGAGGACGACGGCTCAGACAGCGACATGGAAGACTGTCGACCTTCCAAGCCACGGCCCACACGAAACGGCATCCTGGCAGGTACACACACAAGGAAAAGCAATGTCCTTTTTATGATTTATGATTAGTTTGTTGGAAAAAGATTGCTAAGACTACAATTTCTCATTATTGTTCGGCTTTCTGTGATTCCGATTGATTTCATGTCTGCAGTTCTCAAAATAAAATGCTTTATTCATTAAAACATATCAACTTAATATAATGTGCTTCTTGGCCTCTTTTTTCACCACAGGAAGAGGAGCTCGGTTCATCGGGAACATGCAGGGCGGTGATAGTGATGAGGTTAGTATTGACAAAGCAAAATCCATACAATATTCCTTGTTTCTACGTCTCAAATTAAACCTTACGTAGAATGCATCTTTTCATTTGAAAGATTTCTTGCCAGAATTTCCTCTGAGTGACCCTAGATTCTCCAAGCTGTTTCGCTTTCATTTTTAGCCAACTATTCCTGTGTACCAACTTGGATCGTTTTTCCATCCCTTTGAGTTTTGCTGTACTCTGTTCACTTGTCATTCACTTGTATTTTAAAAGCCCTCTTTAGCTGTGTCCAGAAAGTCACGGAAAAAAACACGGAAAGGAAAGGTTTGTGCAGGACCGGGATCTAGTTCACTCACCTTTGTGTTTGTAAAGGAAAAATCTATTCTCAAATTATCCAAGGTGGTAGAGCTTTTTCACACAGGACCAGGCATGGGTGCTCATTAGATTAATGGCACAGTCCACCTTGTTAACAGTCCATACAGTTAACAAGGTGGAGAACTATGAGAGCTTGCTAACATGCTAAAGATATTTAGTGACGTCCATCTCTCACAGAGAACATTAACTCTTTTTCAGATTGTACCTCTAGTCAAGCACATAAGAAGTATAGACCTCATAAGCTGTGTTTGCTATCGAAAGAGGGGCAAGAGAGCGAAAGAAAGGAAGACAATCCCACTGGAGAAAGAGGAATTATTGCTTTTGTATTTGCATCCCTGGGTGACTGTTTTACAAAGCATTTTGGCAGGTATAGTTTTTGAACATTGGTGCAAATGTTTTTAACATCTGGAATGGATTTTTCCTTTTAAATTAGGTAAATTGTTTATCTGCTCCTTGTAATTATCTTACCCCAGATGGACACGTCCCAGTTCAATGATTTTCATCAAATCAGTTCTGGACTCAGCACGTTCTCATTACAGCCAAAGCGTTTATTCCATGATTAGATCAGTCTGATTGAAGTATTTGTGAGACTTTGGCTGGTTCATTGTGTAGTTAAAATGAGAATATGTCCACCCCTATTGTAGTTTGACATTGTGTTTTGAATAATTGCCCAGGAAACTGGGCGCAGAACACTGAAATAGTTGTAGTTATTATGTGTCCATACCTGCCTGCTGTTTCAGACAGAAGACAGTGAGATTGATGTGGATGAGGACGACGAGGTCGATGAAGGCAATGAGGAGAGCAAAGATTTGGAAGATGACAGTCTGGAGGGCCCAGTGTCCAGCGGTGCCCGCCCATCCAAGGGGGGCATAAGACCAACTTTGCTGGAGGAGAGTGACAATGACTTCTGAAAGAACACAGATGAGCTCCAGCTGTTTCTGTCCACCAACTTAGATTAAACCATCCAGTTGCTTTTGAGAGATGTGCGTTAACCATTACATTCCAGCATGTCATTTTGCAATGTAAAAATCTGTGTAGTTTCTTTTTCTGAAAACTACTTACCATAATAAAATATTTACAATCTTATATCTATTTTGTGTGCCGTGAGTTGAATATGAAAGCAGCATAAAATTGTCCAGTGTTGTCCAATGAGTCAATTAGTCATGAACTCAGACTGAGTAGTTAAAGTATGTGCAATTGTATAGTTTATGGTGCACTCTTTTTAAGAGGACACTACTTCTAAATCAGTTTTACTTTACTTTGCCAAGCAGTAAACGTTTTCTATACTGGTTGCATGCTGAATATATTACCAAAAATTATTGCTACAGGAAGAACATACTTGGAAAAACCTCAAGAACAACGTGGCTCTGGTTAAGGATATTGTGGAAATTGGATTGTGAGTGCTGAAGAAATATGTACACTATACTAATTTAGATTCGTACTTTAAATACTTTAAAGCTGTCTCTGGGCCTTGGTTTCAGATACTTAGCAAAAATAATAAACAATCGCCTATTGAATGAACTGAATTGGATGAATTTCACATTTGTTAACGTTTTGATGTAGCTCTTGGCACCTGGCAAACATATATAATATTCACCCAAGAGCTAACAAGTCATTTAAAGGACAGTGTTTGCCTCCAACACGAGACGTTAGCGGAGTACACAGGAACACAGCTTCCCTGAGCCCGGAGCTCTAGCGCTTTAACCAGCGGGGACGTTGCGTCATCAGAATGCGCCCTGGTTTCAGAGGTGCAGATGCTTCTTCGAAAAAGGAGCTAACAGTCGTCTAATTGTGACCTGTTACTCTTGTCATACTGGTATGAAACCATATATATACGGTGTGTGTTATTGTCATTATCCTCTCAGCTAAATCGAGGTAAAATGTAAATAGAGAATGGCTGTTTCTCTGACAATGAAAACAGTCTTGTGTGGCAGGCTAACACCAGCTAGCTGTGGCTAACCAACGTTTAAAGCCGTACGTCTGCATTTTGTGAATTTGTAAATAATTAGGTTGCGGCTTGGTTAAACTTCGCTTGCCTCTTGCCAGCTCGTCTGCTTTAAAAATGGTATTCGGTATTTTCAAATGAATCATTATCTATGTTAACAAATATAATTGGCTGATCACTAACTGGCTTCCGTTTTGTTACTTAATTACCAGGTAAAACGAAGATTATATAAGAAAACCTGGAATTACTGTGGTTACCCAATGAGCTATTTATAAAGTAACGGTGCTCAAAACTCATAACATAAATACAATTTGTTGAACAATCAGACTTTTTTTTCAATATGTACGTGATGAACACTAAAAAGAAGAGTCTTTGTTGCCTTGACAAAAGACTAATCTGTAGTCTAATCTGTAATCTGAGTTTAACCGGCTATATCAGTATTTAAATCCGCTTGAAAAACAATTTCATCAGTCAAACCACTCCCGTCGTTCTCTTTTGTCTTCCCTTTTGTGTGTCAGCTGAAGAGCAGCTGTTGAGATGCCAAAGAAGTTCCAGGGCGAGAACTCCAAGGCAGCCACAGCCAAAGCCCGCAAGGCCGAGGTCAAGGCGGTGGCAGACGCCCGCAAGAAGAAGCAGGAAGAGGACGCTTTGTGGCAAGAAACTGACAAACATGTCCTCAAAAAAGAGCAAAGAAAGGTGTGCATTCTCTGTTGTGTGGTTTCCCACTTTGGGGAATTTTGATGAATATTCTTCTACTTGGATGATGTGTGTACAGTCATTTTAATTTTTAATCATTGGACATGTAAACATTAGATGCTGGCTGTACTGTCATGTCTAATTCATATCAAGCATCCTATTTTGCATCCAGGTTACCATGGGTCTAAAGTCTGTAAGGGATAACATCCTAATTATAAAGCAAGCATCTACAGAACAATTACTCAGACTTATTCAGAAGTAAACAAAGATTCAATTGGGGAATTCTTTTAACCTCATAATATTTAGAATGGAATCCTTTTATTTTTTTATTGCATGATTATCTATTTCATTTATTTATGTCAAGGAATTGGTGAAGCTTATTTAACAGTTATATCACTAGTAAAAGGGATTTGATTTGCCAAACACAAACATTTTTTTACGAACAAATGTCACGTGAGACCTATTTTGCAGGATGACAAGGAGAAGAAGAGGCTCGAGCTATTGGAGAGGAAAAAGGAAAACCAACGACTTCTGGATGAGGAGTTGTCCACCATAAAAGGCAGAGCCCTGAGGGAGGTTGGACCTGGAGGAAAAGTGACCCGCGCCCAGATCGAAGAGGTGCTTCAGAACGAGGTAGAGCAACAGCAGGAGCTCAAGCCTAAAGGTATATTTTGAGTTTAATTTGACGACAGAACTGTGCCGGTTATAAGATAATAAAAATTTGGCTGTTGCAGGCATTAAAATCATTTACAATTTCTTCCCACAGAAAAGAGCCATCTTGAGACTCCACTGGAAGAGAACGTGAACAAAATTATCCCCGAAGAAGGAACCGTGGAAGCTAGAACCATAGAAGATGCCATCTCTGTGCTCAGGTACCACTTCTACTTTGTGTCTGTGACAACCTATTGTCCCTGTGATTAATCAGTATTGATTCAATTTAAGTTTCCTAGTCCTATGACACCACAATGATGACTAGTGAATGTTAACAAGCCATCATTACACACTCTTCCTGTCTCCAGCACGGGGGGCCCGGAGGAATTGGACCACCACCCGGAGCGGAGGATGAAAGCAGCGTATGCTGCCTTTGAGGAGGCCAACCTGCCTCGCCTAAAACAGGAGAACCCTAACATGAGGCTGTCGCAGCTGAAGCAACAGTTGAAGAAGGAGTGGATGAAGTCGCCAGAGAACCCCCTGAACCAACGCTTCTCCGCCTACAACTCCAAGTGAATCAGCTTTTTACGCCACTTAAACTCCACTTGAGAACTGTCTGCCTACCAACATAGGAGACTGTCATTTAGAAAAACAACTAATAATTTAATTTTAAAATGGGTGATGCTAATGGCAGTTTCCCCTGTTTCTGCTCAGAAAGAATCACTCAGCATCCAAAGGACTCAGCTTGGTTGTTCTATTTACTAGAAAGGAGAAGCTCATTTTCTCCTTTCAAGCTCAAAAGCATTGACACTTCAGCATAATGAATGCTAATGAATTGAATTAGATCTTTTTTTTAGACACTTGTGGGGATGTGGGAAGTCATATGTTTTGAGATAAACTTATTAAAGTTCACCACTCGATCATAAACATCTCCTGATACTTTCTACTCACGAATCAAGTCAAATGAAATGTAGTTCAAACATCTTTGCTATACGTTTGCTGTTAGAGGGAGTTGCATAGTTTAGAATGTAGTTGTCATTTTGTGTCTGGGTTAAACTGATATCCAGCAGTAATCCTGGCTGTCTTTAAAATAGCAAAGGCTACATATTACTTTTTCTTCACTTTTAATTATTTTGACAAGTGACTTTCCAGTTTCTCCAAAAGATTTGTTTTTTAAAATTGCAAAATAGTTGACATAATAGTCTGCCAAAGCCTCCTGTCCATTATTCTATGGAGTCATTCTCTGCAATATGTGCTTAGGTCATGTAGTTTTGAATGTCACACGTCATTCAATGCTTTGAATCTTGTCAGAGTATATATCTAGTTTCCTTCATTGCCTTTTTTAACTTAAACGCAGTGAGAGAGAGAATCTCCCATATTTAAATGCCTCAAAATGCTGTTTTGTTACTACAGAAAAAAATGCATAACAAATGTGTCACTGTCAAAGGAACAAATTGATAAAAATAAGTCGTACCTCCATCTCCAGAAGTTAAACTGTAGCTGCAATTTTCCTCCCTTGTCTTCTTCAGCGGACCCATTGGCTTTCAGCCAGCAGTGACCTTAAGTCTGTTGTAAATTTGAGAACAACCTTTTGAAAAAAGAGGACTCGGGTTGTGAGACAAACACTTATAGCCGTGTTGATACTGTGTTTAAAGTGTGGGCTCATGCTTCAGCATGTATGAAGGCACAAAACCTGTTCGGAACTGGTTCATGTGCTGTAATTTGGAGAATATTGCTGTGACCCCGATTCTGTTTTGTTGACATTTGGTATTGCTGCTTCCATCCAACCCAACGTTGAACGACGCTGCAATGGACCTGCCGAGGGTGGAGTTGCATTGGTGGTTGTCCAGAAAGGACGGACACTGATACAAGCTCCTTCCCTTCAGGTGGTCTTAAAATAAACCTTTTTAAATCCAGCTAAATAAAACATCAACAAGTACTTCAGGGAAATGCTGTAATGTAGTACTTCATTTAATTTTTTACCCAGCCATGTGTCATGCAATAGTTATTGCTATTGAATTGCCTTGGCATTCGTTTCTGTAGCCGTCCAGTGCTGCCGTTGGTCACAAAGGTTTTCTCCAACGCAGCAACATTCACATACCGAGCTGCTGATGCAGCAAGCGGCAGGCTTTTCCGATGCCAGATGGAGAGACAGAAAACACAAATAAAAACAAAGCTTTAGCTGTCTTAAATGTACGTAACATAGACGTAAAAGATTAAATTAAATTAAAGTATCTGCAGTGTTTGTGCATGTTGGACTTGGAGGTTTCCCACATACGTTCAAAGGGTTAGAAAGTTAAAGGGAAATATCCTGAGCAACAGCAGACATTTAGAGAATTGAAATGTTCCGCTAATGCAAAAAATCTTGATAGATATTTTGTTGGCCCAAAAATCAAGCGGTGTTAAAAACATTCCTAGGATAGTTTTCACTGTTTTTTCTTCACTTCAAAAGGAATTAGACTTCTTTAGTGAATAAAATGTACCCACAGGAATATTAATTTCATATATCTTTTGATATGATTAATACAACATCGGCTATGTTGTTACATTTGTTTGGATACATCTGACGGGACTTTGGCTTGATTCATTCAGTACCAGATTTTTTTTAAGTGCACTTTTGTCTATGGCCCGGCTGTTATGGAAGAGGAGATAAGACCCTCTGCCAAGGCCTTTGAACCACACAGCTTCAATGACTCAACTCACCTTTTATTTTCCTTTTTGCATTGAAACCGCCCAGTTTCTTTTCTTTCCCACAGCAACCAATCAGTCCACTGCCAATTTGTAGGGATTTCTTTGAGCTTTCACGTGTGATGTTCCGGCTTAACACCGGTCTGATGTTGCATCTTTTTGTTTTGCATCGTAACCTGTCGCTGTTATCTCACACTCCGTACTCATTTGCATGGCAGCCCTTTACCGAGCCAGCTGCCGCTGCCCTTTTTCTTCATGTTGAATTCTAATGATTACTTTCAAAGGAAAGCCGTCTCAAAAGCTCCTTTATCAAGCGTTTGTACGTGAGGGAAGCAAGCCACTGTCCAGCACCCACTCAAGCTCCTCTTCTTCTGAACACTTCTGTTCTGCAAAAGGGAGCTTTTGCTATTCGCAACCTGCTTTTTCAAGTTTGAAGAAAAATAACTCATGGAAGAAGAAGGTAAGGATAATCTAGAGTAGTCAAGATTTGTTCATGCAATGTAATTGTTTGTTGTGGAGAAGATAATATGAATTCAGATTTAAATTGCAGTTATAGGATTAAAGTAAAAAATACGACCACAATTTCGAATAATTATATTGCACTCTTACAAAATAATAACTTTTATTTATATAACACCATTCAAAACAAAGTTACAAAGTGCTTAACAATACGCACAAGAGCAATACAAAATACAATCAAGCAATTTAGAATAAATAAGGTAAAATCTGTTAAATATATAAATAAACTAGCTGGTAAAAGTGAGTGATTTTAAAGACTGTCTAGACACTATTACCGTTTTTCAATCTCCTCTCAACATCCTGCATTCACATGTATTTCCGGACATTTGTTTCAAGTCATCTTCCTCTTTCTCATTTCCCTTCTTTCTTTCCTGTTACACGTGAAACAAATGATTTGTGTGTAATCTCATTTCAGCTCCGCAGTGATGCCATGAGGTTGATTCTGGTTAAACCAACCAATAGAACCCGACGTCTTGATTCAACAGGTGAAGGCTTTCGTGATGGAGACCACGAGCATTGTACCGCCGGCGGTCCATCACCCAAGGCCAAAACTCCTGAAGGGATGCGAGATCGATACTCGGTTACCTCTGTGGAAGCATCTCGTTCCCAACAGGAGACAAGCCTGTGCTGTGTTTCAGCCTCGCCCCATGGAACATCTAATGGAATCAGTCCACCAAGCGATTCAATCCAAATGTCGCCGATGAAAACCAGAAACCTAACCTTATCGCAGCTGAGCGATCAGGACTGGCTCCTGCTCTGTGGCCAGGTGAGCAATGTAGAAGACGATTCACCGTCAGCTGAGACGGCAGGCTCCGGTGTGGGACATCCAAACCACAATGACAGGTGTGGTTGCTCCTGTCCTGATGCACACCAACACCCAGGGGTTTCTAGTTTTCACCCTCAATCAAAACAGGGCACCGTCCAGCAAGACTGCGTCTCCAGAGTTTCAAACGAGAGGACCCTTTTACCCACACCGCACACCCAGACCTTTTCACAAAGCACCCAAGCTTTGAGTACTTGTCAGGTTTTACCGCAGAAAACAAACCAAAGGGATCTTTTCAAAACCCCAGCGAACCATCCACAGGGTGATTTCATGCTCCAATGCAGTGATCAAGGTGAAAAGGAACTATTCCAGCAACAGCCTTGCAATCACTTTAAACTTCAGGACAGCAGCCAAGCGACTTTGTTCAATATTCCTCTGAACTCCATTGAGTGTGTTGAGACGGATCGGAAGCTCTACCAGCATCCTCAGCCTGCTGTCCCGGCCGACTTCAACTGGAGAGAGCTTTTTGGCAAAGAACCACTGTTGGTTCAGCAACGTCAAAAACCAGACTCTCAGTGCTCGATGAGCAGTGGTCAGACCTGCAAGTCGTCTGGGGATCCCTCCCTCGTGCTCAAGTGTCGACATCTCCCTTGCGACCCTTTAACCGGCACTATGCGGGTACAGAGGTCGTCTACTCCAGCCAGTAACAAAAGTGTCCCGTCCTTCTCTGGCAGCCAGTATAGCTCACTTGAGAACCAGGATTTAGTGCCGAAGAGAGCTGGACAGCAACAAAGTCAGGTACATGAATCTTCTTCCTGACCTGGTGTGAGGCGTCATTTCCCTCCAAATGTATGAAATGACAGGCTTTTAACTTTCATTGTAGAGGAAAAATACATTTTCTTATTTTTCCAGTGCTCTGGCTCTCAGCATATGTTGTCTGATAATCATATTTCCTGACTGTTTTGCTTTCTCTTGTAGGCAAAATCTCAGCGACTCAGTGAATCAACACTCTCCCTGCCGAAACACACTCTGCAACATTCATCCAACTTAGAAACTGCCAACATAGTCAACGGGTATACAGTGAGACCGCTGAGCAGCCACGTGAATTTAAGATCCAGTCTTGCAAATCCCCAGTCAGGTGAACAGCCCCCTCAGCTTCTTCACAGTGCCATTCTAGAGGACGCCTTCTCCAAGGTCATCAGGGAGGATTCCAGTAAGGCCAGCAGTGAGAATCAAACCAGAGAGGAAGGCAGCGTACTGCAGAAGAAGACCAAGGACATTAGCTACCGACTGGGCCAGAGAAAAGCTCTCTATGGGAAGCGCAAACAGCTGAGTGACTACGCCTTGGTCTGCGGGATGTTTGGCATTATCGTGATGGTGATCGAGACTGAGTTGTCGAGGGGATTTTACAGCAAGGTACTGTAATCCCCCTCAAAATAACCCCTTTTTATCTTTTTATTTGTTAATTCCAACATAGCGTCACAAGATTTGAGTGCACCCGAGCGGCAATGTTCTTTCCTTTGAGGGAAGATGTCGCCTACTTTAATTGTTTTCTTCCGTCTGTGTGTCTTTGCAACTGGCTGCACACATCAGTTTTTTGTCTCCATTATTTACAGGAATCCATGTGCTCATATGTTCTGAAAGGCCTAATCAGCCTCTCCACAGCTGTCCTCCTTGGGCTCATTGTCATGTACCATGCAAGGGAAATCCAGGTAGGTGAACTCCCATGGCCCTTGGTTCCCCTGAGTAAGCCTATTTTGTATCCAGGAGAGCCTATTACCATATATATGGCATATCTGACTTGTGAAACTGACCACGGCAATCAGTTTTTAAAAAATATCAGAGTTTAAAAAAATATATATTCCTTAACAATATGCAGCGGAAGATACATACTGTACAGCTCGTTTGGATAAAACTGTAAACCTGCCAACAAATCCTTTAAGGAAACAACAGTTCGTACAAATACATTTGGCATTAATATTCCCCTGGTTTTGCGGTCAGTTGAATTATTTGAATTTAAATCTCTCTTCAGCTCTTCATGGTGGACAACGGAGCAGACGATTGGAGGATAGCGATGACCTTTGAGCGCATTCTCTTCGTTGCCTTTGAGCTCCTTATCTGTGCCATCCATCCGATCCCGCGTCAGTATGTGTTCACCTGGACGGCTCGACTGGCCTTCAGCTACACGGCATCAGTGGCGGACGCTGACATTGACATCATCCTCTCTGTGCCGATGTTCCTGCGCCTCTACCTCATCGGCCGGGTCATGCTGCTCCACAGCAAACTGTTCACGGACGCTTCCTCGCGCAGCATCGGGGCGCTCAACAAGATCAGCTTTGACACTCGTTTTGTCATGAAGACTCTTATGACCATCTGTCCTGGCACAGTCCTGCTGGTCTTCAGTGTGTCCTGTTGGATCATCGCAGCATGGACCGTGCGTGTGTGTGAGAGGTATCAGCTTCAACGTTAGTGGGGGAGTAGTTAGTAGTCAGTGGGGTAAAGCAAATAATTGTATTCAATTACTCAAGTATTGGACTTGAATAGTTGATTTTCCGCCACGGCAGATATTCTACCTCGTACGTAGGTTTGTTTCAATTAAATTCAAATGGTGAATTACCAAACTCGGTGATAGAAAACACATTAGTCGATGTAATTGAGAAAATACGCAACGTCTTTCAGCCTTTCAGGTGTCATGTTTCCGTAGGTACCACGATGCAAAGGAGGTGACCAGTACTTTCCTTGGAGCAATGTGGCTGATCTCCATCACCTTCCTTTCCATTGGCTACGGCGATATGGTCCCACACACATACTGCGGGAAGGGGGTTTGTCTGCTGACAGGAATCATGGTGAGATTTGTGCAGATACAGTAAAACAGTCAGGTGACGGAGGATGATGCCAAACATTCTTTAACCTTACATTTTATGTTATGTTGTTGCAAGGTCGGACAATATGAATAATTTTGCTTCATTATTAATATTTCATTGTGCTGCCATTCTGCTAATTGAGGCTTATATTATTTTTAAACAATGTCTGTTGAATGTTCTGTGCTAAAGTGTCACTATCGACTGCTCTTTCTCTCAGGGAGCGGGCTGCACAGCATTAGTGGTCGCTGTTGTTGCAAGGAAGTCTGAACTCACCAGAGCCGAAAAGCACGTCCATAACTTCATGATGGACACTCAACTCTACAAAAAGGTTAAATCTACTACCATATATATATATATGATGGATATCATGATGGATATCATATGTATATATATCATATATATCATATGATATTCTACCCTCCACAGGTAAAAAACACAGCAGCCAATGTGTTAAGGGAGACGTGGCTCATCTACAAAAACACTAAGCTGGTCAAGAAAATTGACCATGCTAGAGTGCGCCACCATCAGCGGAAATTTCTGCAGGCCATCCACCAGTAGGTGTAAAAATGTTGTACGACAGGAGTGCTGATTTAAAACAACAAAAAAATGATGTGCCAACATGTGTGTCTATGGGTTTTAGGGCAATCACAAATTGTTATTGTGACAAACTGTACTTTGAATTTATTATGTTTGGCACATAAGGGACTTTGGCTCTTATTTTGGGTTTCAGACTGCGAAGAGTCAAAATGGAGCAAAGGAAACTAGCTGATCAGGCCAATACAGTTGCTGACCTTGCCAAGGTGTGTATATAATTAAAGTACCATTGTATGTATGTGCAGAGTTAGACGCTTTAGAAGGCTGCGTTTATATTTATCTGCTGAAAGGAGGAAAGGTCTCTGTTCTTCCCCTCAACTTAAGAGTTGAAAAAGCAGGATTTCGTCACATCACAGTTTGGCAGTCAATATCAAACTTACACAAGTGTGAGGTGCAAGCATGAAACCTGCAGTACACAAACACTGAGAGTATTCTGTGAGGTAGAAATGGAAAGATATTTGCACATTCATAGATTCCTGACGTTTCAATGACAGAGAATTAAATAAATATTAGTGTTTAATATATTGGATGCTTACGTTTCATGGGATTTCAAATTGTTAATCTTGTTATATATTATAATACTTACCCTCAGACATAATTTTGGTATGGTTTTGGATCAAATTCTAATTACGTTTTGTCCTTAAAAACAGTAAGTTTTGAGGTATTAGGCACATCACTAGGAAACTACCTCATTTGGGACACTACAGGCATTTAAAATAATTTAATTTACTTCTGTAAGCACACCGTATTATAAACTACCAAGTCAAATGAAGTTGACATGTTTCCCTAACTACTTTTTGGCCCATGTGTTATTTCTCTACTATGCAAGTACATTAATAGGTGACAAATCATTCAGTTTTTGTTGGGCTGGTGAAGTTAAATCTTTAAAGTTTTCTGCAATCATAATACTGTGAGAGAAGTTTGCTGCTGCGCTCACCCTGATGTCTCCTAAAATGGACCACCACATCCCGCAATGTCGGATTTGACTCTCGTCCCTGTTGTTTTCCCAGACTCAGAACATGATGTATGATCTGGTGTTGGAGCTCCAACATCGCAGTGAGCAGTTGGACAGGAGGATCGTAGCTCTGGAAGAGAAACTGGACTCCATCCTTCGCGACGTGCAGTCGCTGCCTGTTGTGCTTTCTCAAGCAATAACAAAGCTACAGAAGGATTTCCTGGACGACTTGGCCTGTCGCGTCCACTTCCTGTCATCCTCGCTGAGCTCTGAGTGCTGTTCAGTCCCTGCCAGGCAGCTCCCTCAAGGACCCACAACACCAGGGACACCATACAGCTCAGAGGCCTGACACTGTAGTCTTCTCTTTAGTCTGCAACTTTTTTCCTGCTGAGAATGATTTCCTCCACATGCACACTCCTGTTTAAGTAGCGTCCTGCAACAATTTAATTCAGTTACACACGTTCACCCCTGGGAGCTACAGCTACCGATGAAAAGGGAAGTGCCTCAGGCAGAGGATTCTAGAGGAAGGGGAGAGCAGTATTCCTTCATTTCCTTCCCAAAGTTCACAGTCGGTCCAGGCACTGGGTATTCACCTACGGTTTGAGGCACATCAGTCCCGCTTTTTTCTTAAAAATTAGTAAACTATGGCTGTATGGGGAATTAGAATGTAATTGTCAACATAATATGTTATATGTTATGTGATTAAAATAGTGTATGTTATACAGTCTAATTGAGTCAATTCCAAGGTTCTTTAAATATAATTTAATAACCAATTATTGTTCAACTTAAATGTGGGCTGCTTCCTCTCATGAACTGGTTATGAAAAATATGAGAACGGTTTCCCATCACTGTAAGAGTTGTGTTTTTTTCTGTATTAGAAGGTACAGTAAACAAGGTTTTCAATTAGAGAAAGATGGTTTTCTAAGGTTTATGATTACTGTCAAAGCAATAATGGCCTAGTTCTGGCTAAGATGTCCTTCCTAGATTTTCTTTAAAGTCTAGTCCCGGATGTTAAGACAAAACTGCCAAATTCCAGTGGGAATAAGGAAAGAAATTCAAATTTAAGAACAGTTTGCCTGTGGGTGTAACACTGCAACTTCACTTGAATACTCTTGTTCTTAACTTGCACCCTTTGTAATTTGGTTGTGGTCATTTGAGACATAATTTCTATATGGCGATTGGTTTCTTATTGTAATATTGTCCTGTTTTAGTATGTTTTAAAGTTGCAAACTTGGAAATCAGGTAAATAGAAATAAAGTGTATTCCTATTCAATAAATGATGATCACTATTTAAAGCTCTAAAATCTTGCTGTCACTGGCTTTGGCCTCCAGACCATTAATACGGCATTTACAATGCTTTGAATATTCAAGAACTTGTAATTGATAAAGAAACCACAGAGTTACAATTACTTTGAAGATGTAAACTCGATGTCAAAAACAAATACCGAAGCAGTCACACCAGATAAAAAGCTCTCGCAGGTTGTTTGTGGAACGTTACCGTCTCTCTCTCCGGGCTACTAGTTTCTAAGCGCTATCATAATCTCGCGATAAGTGGCCAAAGACGAGCTGCACCCACGAGAATGCCGTTTCGCGCGCTGAGGCTAAGCTCCAGTCACATTTCAAGTTGACATCTTTGTTAACCAATCAACTGGATGTGCAGAGAAGCCTCCTTCCAATGACGATACTGTATTTCCAGAGCAGGCGGGGTGTGAAAGTCTTGAAGAATAACTCATTGATCAATCCTTACAAGCCATAGAGTTTCTCGTGCCAACCCTTCTAAGAAGTTACTCGCGGAAAACCTGCGCTGTTCTCCGTAAACGTCAATTTCGTGTTTTCGCTTGGACATACAAACAGGTAGAGCAGTTTTTCTCGTATGTTTTAAAAACTTCGCAAATGTTAACGTTACTCATTGATATTTTAATCAGTCGCTAGCTCTCTGCGGTTAGCTAACTTGACAAAGTCCCAACCGCTACCTCGTTTCAGTTTGGGTCAACGTAACGTTAGCTGAAGTTTCCCAACCAGGCAAATGTAAAACATCTAAATTAAATCACAAAACATAAGTTGGACACCGGGGGAGTTAGCGTGATGTCGAATGTGCCGTTTGTTTGTCGCTAACAAGGATTTTTTCTAACAATAAATTGTAACGTGGTTTGCTGTAACGTTGCACATTGATGGGGGGGGGCGTCAGACTACCGCGAGCTGTTATCTTCTGTTGTTGATCAGCGCATAATGCGTAAATTAACACACACGGTGGGAAGATTACGCTGCGCTTCTCCACCTCACTGCCTCTTGTGAAACAAAATAAACACGCTAACCTCCGTTAACTTTACAGATATTATTTTCCGTTTTGGCCTATGGTGATTTGCCTCATGTTTTTTTTCGTCTGTGTTTTAAGTGGACATGAATGGTGTCGGTGGAATAAAACCTCTTGGTTGGGAGGAAGTAGTTTGTTTTTCCCGTGTTCATTACTCGTGTTCCTTGATGCTGGTTTTATTTGGGGGAATGAACACCTCAGCTGAGGGCGCAGAAGTGAAAACCAAGTAGCCATCCGGCTCGCAGCTCAGCCCTTTTAGAAAGAACGGTGTACAGTCTGTGCTTGTGTAAAGGATTGTTTCCCGCTTTGCAATAATCGATTTTAAACTACATTCAACATAGTATTTCCGTGTGCGTTATTGTCGCAGCAAAGGCACATTGTTTGCTAGCTCTCCCTCCCCTCCGGATGTGCTCGCTTTTAAAAGAACTGGGAGGAGCCAGCGGCTCAGTTTCCCGCACTGTATTTAAATCCGCTTGTTCCCTCCCTTTCTGATGTTCCGTTGAAGTGACAGCCAGTGCAATACTTCCACAATACACAGGAAAAGGGCGGGCGTATTCACTGATGGCAAGCAGTTATTTGTTCTGCTGGTTTTGATTTAGGAAATAATTTTTCTTAAAGCCTTTATTTTTTAATTATGTGATTGTTTGGAATCTCATGCTTTAAAAATGGCCACAAAATGCGTTTAAATAGACACAATCCAGGGTTTAAAAATGCCAAAATATCTATCTATCTCATATAATATATATATATATATATATATATATATATATATATATATAAATATTATTATTATTATTATTATTATACACAACATGTAGAGAACGAGTAAATGTCAAGGCATTAATAGCAGGTTTATTTTAATACAAAAAGTTCATAATGTTAAAAAAAGTGATTGCATGCACGTCTTATAAAGCATTGTCCGACCAGTTTCAGATAGTATTTTTTGAGCTTGATCAATGATTTAAAATGTTTTTACAGTGGCTAGCTTATACCCGCTGGAGACCAAATGATTGATTACTCAAGACGGATTGCTGAATAGGTCATGCTTTGGCTGTTGACACAGGGCAGCTGCAATGTGGATTCAGGTGCGCACAATGGATGGACGGGAGACCCACCGGGTGGATTCCCTGTCGAAGCTCACCAAGGTGGACGAACTGCGTCTCAAAATCTCAGAGCTCTTTAAAGTCGAGCCAGAGAGGCAGAGGCTGTTCTACCGTGGCAAGCAGGTGAGGCAGAAATGGTTATAATGTAGTTTGGAGATGTGTCCTTAATGCTGTCTCTAATATTTGTAGGAGCTATATGGATGATGGCTGTAGCTAATGCATGATCTCTCGCTTAACATTTCCTCATTAATAAAACATAGAATGCTTAAAAGAACTGCTTTTAATGAAATGTGATTAATGCAATTAATAAAAGTTTCCTTGAATGAAAATGTCTTTGGTGGAACATATCGGCACGGAAAACGAGGGACTAGTAAAACAAAGTAAAAGTAGGAAGTTCTTTTCATTTCTTCCTTTCTTTTTTCAACAAAGTTGTGTTTTTGATTTACGTCAGATGGAGGACGGCCATACCATATTCGACTACAACGTGGGTCTAAACGACATAGTGCAGCTGCTTGTGAGGCAGAAAATGTCTGCTGTTGATGTCGTCAAAAGCAAGGACAAGGAAGCCGAGCTTTCTGACTCTGATTCTGGTTGTGGCTCAACCCAGAGCGAGTCTGACAAGAGCTCCACTCATGGAGAGGTAGAAGGTCAGACTGCTAGCACCTCCTCCCAGACAAACACCCCAGAGCTCGTCGATCCGGGGTTTGGATTGTACAAGGTTTGTAAAGCTGTTAGTTGGGATTAATTGGGTTGTTTTGCATTCTGTGTTTGCAGGTCACATTTAGGGCCAATCAAATATTTCTCTGCTTTGCATGCAATAGGGCTGGAAAGTAACACAACCGCGCCACATTTTTATTTTACTTTTTACTTTTTTTTGTGCATGACCACGATGATAATTGAAGGGCCTTAACACAACTCTGTGGAATTCTGTAGTTTTGGCACTCCTGTAAGCTGTTTTTTGGGGCATTTAAACTACTCTGCCAGCCAAACTGAGATGGCTGTTGATTTGGTGAACACTTTGCATGAATACACAAATGTAGGTGATTTGCATGAAGTGGGGGTGTAGTTTCTGGAATGTTTTTGAGCCAGTCTCCTTTTCATCACCCAAATTCTTATTGCTATTGGTAAAGGGCATTTATTTCTGTGTATGCAAGGACAAAGCCTTGAGAGAAGTCAATTTGCAAAGACAATCTGAAAGATCTATTCACAGAATATTTAATGTGACTTTATTTTTTTTAGGTTGTTCCTAAACACGGTGAAAATTATTGGTACAATATCTCTAAAGATCTTCTTTTCGTTCTCTCAAGATCAATGAGCTGGTGGATGCAAGGGACTTGAACATGGGGGCTTGGTTTGAGGCCCAGATTGTGAATGTTACCAAGACAACAAAGACTCCTAAAGAGGAGGCCGCTGAGGAGGTGTCCGCTGAGGAGATCCTGTACCATGTGAAATATGAAGAGTAAGAATCCTTTTTTCTGTTCCTCGTGGGTAGGGATATCACTGAGACATTTGGATATCATGAAACCGATCATGTTCAAGAAGGGACACTTAATAATCTTTTTTTTTTTTTAATCTGTCAAATAATGTATATATGGGAGAAATAGATTGCTAGATGTGTATCCAACCAACAAATCCAATCACCAGCTAAGCAGCATTACTCATGCGCTTTCATTGGTGTTAAATTAGGATTCTGTTTATCTTCAACTACTTTTCTAAAACAATCACTTCCTGCTGCAGCTTCACATAAAAGGCGTGAAAAGATTCCTTCTAGAGGGGCTCTATTTCAGATTTAACGCTTACTATGTAAGGCAATGGCATATTCTTAAAAACCAAGATTGAGCGACTAAAATAAAAATATAACATTTCATAGGTGTGTAGCCCTGTGAACTGATACGGTATCTTCTTTGCTATCACAGCTACCCAGAGAATGGAGTCATTCAGTTGCTCGGTAAGGATGTTCGCCCGCGCGCCAGAACGGTGTATCAATGGCACCAGCTGGAGCCAGAAATGGTCATCATGGTAAACTACAACCCAGACGACCCCAAAGAGCGGGGTTACTGGTATGATGCCGTGATCGAGAAGAAGAGGGAGACGCGCACTGTGCGAGAAATCTATGCAAAGATTATCCTCGGGTAAGAACTTTGAGTGCCATATGAGCATCTTGTGGTGCCATTTTTAACACCATAGCAAAGTTGTTTTTTTTGTTTGTTTTTTGGCATCTATCTATGATTGCAAAGTATTGTAAGCAAGAAAATGTTGTCCTCCCGTGCGGGAAGCTTTAACGGCAAGTTCCTTTTTGTTTCAAGGGATGCTGGTGACTCTATTAATGATTGCCGGATCATGTTCCTGACTGAAATCTATAAGATCGAGGAGCCTGGTTCTCCAGGTGATGCCCCAGCTGGATCTGAGAGTCCCTTAAAAAGTGGGTTTAAGATGAAACGTTTTGGTATTACAGATGTGTGCTGACTTTGAGGACTGACTAGTGTAATGTTTACTGCTACATGTCAAACTTGCCCCTTAATGGAAATGCAGTGTAATGATATATAATGCATAACCATGCCCATTCTTCAGGATCAAATGGACCGGAGTGCAAGCACTGTAAGGATGATCCCAAGAAAAACTGTCAGTGGTGTAACTGCCATATCTGCGGCATCAAGCAGGATCCTGACAAACAGTTGCTGTGTGATGAATGTGACATGGCCTTTCACACTTACTGCCTCAACCCTCCGCTCACCACCATCCCTGAAGACGAGGACTGGTCAGTAGGATGTAATGCAAAATTCACATACAAACATTCAGATATCTTGAAAATCAACAGTAATATGTTGATTTAAAGAGACAATCTGAGGATTTCTCAAACGCAATTTATTATTTACTGAAACTATTTTGTTCAATCAACTGAAACTGTTTTCAATTAAACCCAGTATTCACTGCAGGATTTTAAAGTGCTTCAAAGCCTCACTTTAAGTTTTATGTACAGCTGTCGGTGTGTTATAGCTGTTTTGCAGAAGCCAAATGCAGAACCACTGTCTGTTTAATGTATCTGAAATCTATCCTTTTGGTCATAACTTGTGTGCTAAACCTTTTCTCTACATGTCGTACTATCTCAGGTATTGCCCAGGTTGCCGTAATGATGCCAGTGAGGTTGTGTTGGCTGGCGAGAAGCTGAAGGAAAGCAAGAAGAAGTCTAAGATGGCTTCTGCCAGCTCCTCGAGCCAGAGGGACTGGGGCAAGGTCAGTGCTCCACACACAGTTGCAGGACAAAGAATCTTTGGTAGATATAAATATTTTGATCATAGTCCAGATATTTAAATTTTTGATGAGTAAAGTGAACATCCCAGAACTGCTTTGCATACTACAAAACATTACAACTAAAATACTTTTCATTCTCTGTCCTTGTAAATGACTACCGATGATGATGATGATGATGATGATGATGATGATTTACTTTTCAAATGCTAACTATCCCCCCCCTCCAGGGAATGGCCTGTGTTGGTCGAACAAAGCAGTGCACGATTGTCCCATCCAACCATTATGGACCAATCCCTGGTGTCCCGGTTGGCTCCATGTGGAAGTTCAGAGTGCAGGTGAGGAACTCAACCAGGGAGTTGAATTGACACAGTTGAACTTTTGAATCCTGCATACACTATACAAAGAGGTTTTCTAATAATTTCTTCCAGTGCCCAGAAGTAATGTTTAAATTATTTTGCTAGGTCAGTGAATCAGGAGTCCACAGGCCTCATGTGGCTGGGATTCACGGCAGGAGCAATGACGGAGCCTACTCTCTGGTGCTGGCAGGAGGATATGAAGATGACGTGGTATGCTTTAAAAAAAAAAGCGATATGAAGCCATATGTTTCTAGCAACGTGCAATCTGCTGCTAAACCGTAGTAGTTTGAATCTGTGATACTTTTTAATTTTAGGATGATGGTAATGAATTCACTTACACTGGCTCTGGGGGACGAGATCTGTCTGGAAACAAGAGGACTGCTGAGCAATCGTGTGATCAGACACTTACACACATGAACCGGTAAGACTCTTAACGTATTTTAACTTTTCGAGGTTTTTCGAATTGTCAAATTCTTAGTAGTTTACTCTTGTTCTCAGGGCGGTGGCTCTCAACTGCAACGTCCCAGTCAATGACAAAAACGGAGCGGAGTCAAAGAGCTGGAAACAAGGAAAACCGGTTCGAGTTGTGCGCAGTTGCAAAGGCCGCAAGCACAGTAAATACTCCCCTGAGGAAGGCAACCGATATGATGGCATATATAAGGTAGGAGTCCGTGGAGGTCATTCAGATTTATCAGACTGGCTAATGTTTACAAAGATTTAGCAAAGTGATTTTCACGAGGTGCAATGTATAGAGCAATAAATGGATGCGATTGCTAAGCTTCTCCAGGGCCAGAACCTAGTAAGCCATCCACTCCACATGTCATGATGAATAATGCTGTGGCTTTTGGCCATCATGTTTTATTGCGTTTTGCTCTGTCCTGTGGACTTCTTCAGGTGGTGAAGTACTGGCCAGCAAAGGGCAAGTCTGGCTTCCTGGTCTGGCGGTACCTGCTGAGGCGTGACGACGATGAGCCGGCTCCATGGACCAGAGATGGCAAAGAGCGCATCAAGAAGCTCGGCCTCACCATTCAGGTAGCGATGAGCTTTCAGAATACATTATACTGGAGGGCTTTTATTGTATGCAAAAAGTCAGTTTATTTGGGATGTATACAGACATGGTGTTGCGATTTTATCTGCTCCCATTTCGAATACACTCCCAATAAAATATATTTGACAGAAGTTATGTACCAAACATACTACAAGAACTTGTTGGATAAACACAACGTTGTTCTACAATAAGATCCTCTAGGACTCTTATTTAAATTGAAGTATAAAAAGTCTAAAATCCGTTATCCTGCTTAATGACAGCCTGTGCTTAGGACTATTTTTCATTTGTTTAATTTATTTTGTCCTATAACATTACTTTATTTAAATGTACAAAATCTTGTTCTAGTATCCTGCTGGCTATCAGAAAGAGAAGGAGAACAAAGATGAAGTGGAGGAAGAGGCGGCGACACCCAGCAAGGCAAAGAGGAAGAGAAAATCTCAAGGCAGCGGTAAGTTCCGTTTTTGTTGTTGTTGTTTTTGTTTTACACTTCTATCTGATCTGCCCCGAACCATGCATCGTTACACATGGCATCGCTGGTTGCATACAGACAGTGATGTAGAATTTCCATTTACGAATTACAGTTGGCCACCTTTTTTTTTACAGTCAAAACGCCTTGGTGATTTAAATGTTTTTTTGCAAACAGATTCCTCAAAAACCCCACCAGGCAGAACTCCTAAGAAAGTTAAGTTAGAGGTGTACAAGCTTACCCAGGAGCAGAAATCCCTCATCAAGAATGACAAGCAAAACAAGAAGGTTTGGGATGAAGCCATGGAGTCACTGTCTCTTGGGCCGGTGAGTAGTGCTGTGTATTTGGTAACGTCACCAGCAGGATTTCTAAATGCTGCTATTTCCATCCATATACATGACGAACCAAGCCGGATGTTTGATTCTTCCAAAAAATTAAGACGTTTGTTTCAAAGCGGCAGAAGGCTTTGTCAGTCGTTGCAAAAAACACTTTGTCATAGAGCCATTTGTGACGCCATTTCAAGGTTTAATGTATTTTTCTTCCCGCAGAAATTCTTAAACAAAGTTGAAGAAATTTTCCATTGCATTTGCTGCCAGGAAGTGGTCTATCAGCCCGTTACCACAGAATGCCAACACAATGTTTGCAGGGTAAGAAACATTGTTTCAATTTGCTTGATAGTTTGAGTCTTCTGTTGTACATAGTCAATGTTGCATGCTATTTTAAGTGTTTAGGTACTTCACACCACGGAGACCCAAAGTTGTTCTCTCCAAAGCCATTAACTTTTGTTAAGATGATTTCAAAGCTCTTATTTGGTAAAATAAAGTAGATGAGTTACATTTTGTTATGTGTTTAAATGTAACGTTGAGCCTTTTTTAAAGTGAAAGCTACGTTTCCTTTAACCACAGGAATGCCTCCAGCGGTCATTCAGAGCAGATGTGTACACCTGCCCGGCATGCAGGCACGACATGGGCAAAAACTACCCCATGACGGTCAACAAATCCCTGCAAGATATTCTAAATCAATTTTTCCCAGGGTACAGCAGTGGCCGATGATCATTGGTTCTGCCAATTCAGCGCTCAAGGAATATCAAGTTAAACTGTAAGGGGAGTTTTCAGTAGAGGCAATAAAGAATCAGTTTCTCTTAATATATTTTTATGACTATAAAACTGCAATTTGTGGACTTCAATGCTACCGTTTTCACCTTGGCTTTGCCATAATGTGTAGATAGATAGATCAAAATTTCCTTAAACTGTATCATTACTCCGTTAATATCTTTCGCCGAGACCCAGCAGTTTATTTGTTCCACAATCTAATGCTAATTTTATCCTTTTATTGTAAATGTTTTAATCCAATTCCTCCACGTTAGCACTCCTCTTTGAATGTTGACTCAAACTTTTTGCTCAACTTGTTTGGGTATTTTTTATTTGAATCTGAATTTGTTCTGTTCGTATAGGATTGGTTATTTTGATGCATTTAAAAATAATCAAGACTGCAGTAAGTGTTTATAATTGGATTACGTTCACATCTGATCTTAAAACATCTGATAAGGAACTTAAACACAGAATACAGCAAGTGTCCTTTGAAAGCAATCATTTCCCTTTTTTGTTTGCACATCGACTGGACGATTCAAACTACAATAAGGTTAATGCACGTCACGTCCTGTGTGAAGGGTCCTGTACTCTTCTCCACTTTACTTGTATCTATTTGGGTTCAATAGACAAATTATTAACATAATCTTGGCAAACTCGAGGACCAAATGTGACCTTATTTTGAAATAATCCGATGATTGAAATTACACCAGTTTGGCAAGTGGACGAAGCTGCCCCATTCGGTCTGGATGATGCCTGACATACAAGCACAATCTGGACACGTCCGTTTTTGTTTTTGAGGTTGAGCTGTCTGAGAGTTTCTTGTTGGGGAATGGTGTCATCAAGTGGTTGGATTTTCTAACCATTGTATTGGTTCCTTATATATGTTCATACAATAACGTTATACCTGTTTATGAAGTTTGGGAGATTTGTCTTGAAAGTAAACATGGATTTTTAAAAACTTAAAAGCTAGACACTATACTATGGTAAAGATTTAAATTTTCCCTGTTTTGAAAAGTTACTTTGTTAAAGTCCAAAGAAACAAGTGCTTAACCAAGGGTGAATGTAGGAATCTCATCCATTTAGATCAAACCTGACTGAGTCTAGAAACTTTATTTGTCCTTTTTCTCTAAACTTTAATTTTGTACCATTTCATCTCTAATGAAGTAATCCATTACTGCCATCTGTGGGGAAAGGGTGTTCAATCAAATTTGTGTCTCTTGTCGTCACGTGTAATACCAGACCTCTATTTAAAAACAAATGTTTGCGTCAAGATGAAATGTTAAGAAAATTCCACACACTGCTCCTGAAATTGAATCAACCTATTTATCTGAATTTGTTATTGACTACTTTTGGTGTTATTTGGTGTTGGATTTCAACAGCAGTGTGTGTGTGCAACATTGTCTGACTACATGCCAGCTCTTTGAGTTTTGATGGAGAGACCACTATTTGGATAAACTGCAAAATGTATATTTTCTGAAATTGTATAATTTAGTTCCCTTTTTTTAGTTTTTATATGTAGTCTTAAAATGGTTGCACATGTTGATGCAGAAAATTGTCAATACATTTTCAGTGTTATTCAATAAAAAGATTTGAAATGACTTGTGTTTTTTTTTAATTGATTTAAAATAAACTAACTCTTCAAAACGTTAAAGCATCTTAACCCCATCGGCTACATTTGATTAATTGTCATGATTGTGTAGGATCGATCGGTGGCAGCCCATGTATTACAGCGGGTGGGAAGCCTCTCCAGGTCAAACCGTATGAGCTCATTGCTCAGCGCTGAAGACCACCGCAGGCCCATCGATCCCTCTCGATTCATATGCAAATGTGACGAGTGCGAGGTTTCTGGTCAGTGGAACGTCGCGTTTGTGTTACTGCTGTTAGCGAGCCATTACGTGCAAGGCAGCATACTTGCAACCACAGAGCAGTACAAACGAGCGTCTAATTTCATTGGTCGATGTGTGCGTCTATTAACTAAATAGACCAACCACGTGGTTGAGTTTGTAAAGAAGAAATCCACCATCCGGGGGATTCAACCAATCGCGAAGCGTAGCTCGTGTGAGGTGGGCGTGACTCCGAGTAGCCTGTGCTAGCTAATGCTAGAGGAAAATCCATCCTGGGAATATTTGCAAAACGAAACCAAATTGATTGATTAAAACAAGTACGGGACACAACGTTGTCGCAGGAGGTAATATTCCCCAAGCGGGATTCATTTCCACCGTCGTGAAGTCCGTATTATCGGTGCAACGGTGTTGTGTGTTTGCTGTCGTCCCGTTTTGTTTTTTCTAAATTCAGACATGGAAGTAGCTACCTAGCTAGTGGCTATACCGCGTCAGCTAGGAACACACTAACGTCAGGACCGAGGAAAGTGTGGCTGCTAATTAACGCCACGCATGTGTACACATGGAGGCTAATGCGAGTTCAATGTTTAACTCATTTTGAAGCGCGTCGGGTGCGTTGTCTTGTTTGCTGCCTTCGATGAAATGCTAACCGGTAATGTTAATGTCAGTTGTGCACAGCCGTCGTTGACCCGAGCAGCAACAGCAGCCTTCCACCAACTTCGTTTTAAATCGAGCCTCGATGAATTAACCTTAATATCTCCGACTCGGAGATATTAATTAATTAATATTTTAACAAACACGGCGTGGGGACCTGTTTCGTCTCGGCAAGTTAACGTTAGCCACCCAGGAAGGAGGGAAGTGTGTGCTGCAATATTGAGACAAGTTCCAGGCCCAGATACCAGTTAAAGGGGCCGCGGAGGCCCTTCTGTGTTGTGGTGAGACAGCTGGGGGTCATGTGGCCTGCAATGGCCTAACTAAGCCTCATCTACAACGCTAGATCAGTACTTGTTGTAAAGAGGGGCCTTATCTGACCGAGGCGAGTGAAACAAAACACGTTGTAATCGCTTGTTGTATAAAGCTACCTGCGTTTCTCAGTCACTGAGCAGGAAACTCTCATAGAACCGCGTTGAAGTCATTCAAATCAGGTTAATGTGTATGTTTCGCTTGAACTCGATTGGCACGTTTCCTGCTCTACTGGGTGTTTGTGCTTGATGCACAATGGTGAATCTTTTCTTGCCTTTTTCAAAGAGCAGCAGCATACCGTGCAAAGTTAGGGGTGCCGTCATCATCAGTTGTTTATGCAATTACTCCTTTTAGTTCTGTTTTCAGATGTATTGAAAAACGTGAACAAAAAACAAAATGGCAGGTTTAACAGTATTGACAATAATCACATTTAAAATAGCATTAATGTTCTATCCAGAGTAAGGAGAACACCTAGTTGACCTGAATGTCAAACAGAACGCGATGATTCAATTGGATTTTCAAAAAAATATTCAATATCAATATTAATTGCTATCAAGAACACAGACAGTGTTCTTCCATAATTGTCAATCCTTCATATTACACAAATAATCGACCTATAGTATTTTAACTAAATTATTCTTTCCAGGAACCTTTTTTTAGTTTTTTTATTACAAATGAATGATTTAGTGTACAAAATGTCAACTACTGAAAACTCCTGACAAAAGAGTTCCTAGAGGCCATTGTGTCACCTTGCTTTATTTGTTGAACCAAAAGTCCCAACCTGATAATAGATCAACAGACCTTCTCCATTCACATTCCTTTTCTCTACACGCTCTTAGCAGCCATTAGTTGCTGCTAATATCAGTATTTGGACTAAGGTTCTGTGAGACAGAGTTTGATAAAAGCTGCCTTAATTTCTTTTTTGGGGATTTTTTTGTGTATGGATCATGTGAGTAACAAAACTCTCTTTACTATCGGCTAATTCAAAAAACAAATAATGAAATGAATCCATTAAAACAGTCAAAGAAATTGACTGTTTTACTACAGGGACTACAGTCATGCATGAGTACATCAGTTTGTCTTGATTAGTCCCTCATAGGGGATATCTGCATAATTTCATTATTCTGTACTCGTAGTGATGATGTGATCATGTTTGGGCATTGAGGCCATTGTATGTTTATTATATTGGGGCAGTATAACAATTTCTAATAGGAAAACATCGGAACATACATCATTAGAGGTAAAATGTAGCGCAGATTGACAGCTATCCTACTGCTCCAGACTAGAATGTGTTTGCAGCAATCTGATGAGAATTCAGTACTTTTGGGCACAACAACACTGACTGTTTATCTTGGCCTTCACTGGTTGGTTCTTAAAAAAACTACCCATGTCAGGCTTTCATGTTGGGAAAGTTGGATTGTTTCAATTTAAGATAGAAACCATGGACTCTGCTCCAGGCAGGTTTAAATAAAGGACTAAAGCCTAGTTTATGCTTCTGCGTTTTCATAGCGACGCAGACGCAAGACCTCCTTGCGTGTCCCTTGCGTTTCACACCTCCTTGCGTGTGTCGAGCCATTTTTCTAGGCTTGCGTCGCTTTCGACACAAGCCTCCCGCAGCGCACCAGGCTGCGATTGGTCCGCTAACTACGTCCTTTACGGAGTCTCACATTTCCGCTTTCATAGCCCGATACGGCCATTATTAAAACGAAGAATGTTTACGAGAGAACGGATCAGATTTAAGAACTTTTGTCCTAAGAAATGCGTAATATGACTGCATATACAAGCCGTCATTGGCGGGTTGTAGAAGCGGGTTGGATTCATGGAGGGAGATCGCCGCAAACGCCGGTTTGCCGGTCGAGAGGTGCACAAAGTTGTGGAGGAAAATACGGGACAAATGTGTCCGTGATGAAAAGCAGCAGTGGCGATGCACGGGGCAATAAAGTCTATGATAAATAAATAAACAAATAAATTAATAGACGTGACTCTCTAGGTCGTCTTCAACAAAAACACGTTACTCCGCCTGTTGTTCTGGGGGTGAATTGCTCTGCAACACACGCAGAACCATGAATGGAAACGAGGCAGACGCGGGAGCATGCGCCAGCCTTAAATATTCCCTGATTGCCTGTCTTCTCCCTCCAGGTTTACCTGCATCCCTAAAAAGACTCAATGGCAACCGACATGCCCAAGGACACTGTGCCGAGGCCTTATCCCGCCCCGGGCCCACCCCATGACACCGCCCCAGCTCCCACTCACGCTCCCGGGGCTTTTTCAGCCCAAGACCAGATTCCCGTCGATGTGCCGGCCGTAACTGAAATCCAAGACACAGCGATGACCCCAGAGCCTGATGCTCCCCCGGATCTCACCCCTGCTCTTCATGCAGATGCTGAACCGGTCCTTGTTCCGGGCACTGAGCTTCCCCCGTTCCCTCTGCTGCCAGTCAGCGCTAAGAACGCCAGCTGCAAGATCATGACCTTCCGGCCCACCGTGGAGGAGTTCAAAGACTTCGCAAAATACATAGTCTACATGGAGACTCAAGGAGCTCACCGTGCTGGCCTGGCTAAGGTGAAGGCAGTAATACTTTACAGTCCTGTAAAAGTATAGGCTAACTATTACATAGAATTTGTTTGATTCCATCAGTAACTACAGTTTTATTTGATCTTGCATTGCCAATCTAAAATATTTATTGATTGATGTCTTAAACTATCCACCAATATTGACAAGTTATTAAAGCACAAAATTCCCACCAAATTATTAAACACTCTTCATTTTTTTACATTTGTTTTGGAAATTTATACTAAGTTATTGCAAATGAATGTTCAGTCACATGTAGTAGTAGTTAATGCAGTGAATAAAATGATTCAATTGAATGTCCTAAATAAAGTAAGGGATATTCAGAGGAGTCAAAATGCCATTAATCTGTCTCCCACCACAGGTGATTCCCCCGGAGGGCTGGAAGCCACGGAGGTCCTATGACACCATCGACGACATGGTCATTCCAGCTCCCATCATGCAGGTGGTGACCGGGCAGTCGGGTCTATTCACCCAATACAACATTCAGAAAAAGTCTATGACCGTAAACGATTACCGCAAGCTGGCCAACAGCAAGAAGTAAGTTGGTCCCGAATCCAGAAGCCTCATTTTATAACGTATGCGCTTTTTCATATTTGTAGATACTTAAGCATAATGTCTAAAAAAAAAAAAAAAAAAAAAAAAAAAACATATAATATGGCTGTGAAAATGATGAAGAATTGACCTGTACTATTTATCTAAACGTTCCAGCAAATGGTTTAAAACCTACATTTTAATGACTAGAAAATGCATTTCCTGCTGAAAATGCATTTATTGTCTCAGACGGAGACAAACAAGTAATGAAACATAATGAGTGATTATGAAAAAAGTAAAATGGATAACAAGCAGTTTTTTTTAATCAAATAGTTTAGACTTTTGTTAACATTTTAAAGTGTAACTGGTGTTTGTAGCTGAAAGATTGGCAAAGAGATAAAGTACCCAACAAGTACATGTTGGTGATTTGAAAACTCACAGCTCCTATTGCTGGACCCTCTGTTTCCACTGCCCACAATCTGACTCGTTTTCAGGTACTGCACTCCTCGGCACAAAGACTTTGACGACCTAGAGAGGAAGTACTGGAAGAACCTGACATTTGTGTCGCCCATTTATGGTGCTGATGTCAGTGGCTCAATCTATGATGAGGTGAGGGTTTTTCAAGACCTGCTGTGGTTGATACGTGATTTTTTTCCTATAGGTTACTTGATCCGGGTTATTCATTCCAGTGCTATTCACTGATTGAGGACAAACTGACTGCATGTCACCATTTGAATGGTTTTCAATGACAGTGTAGCTTTTTTAAAACTGATATTAGTCGGATCGTTATTGGATGACCTGGGAATGTAATACAAAAAACCCAGCTATTAAATAATCTAATATCAGTATTTGGACTAATCACAGTAAAGCATATTTTCAATAACTTTTGTAAAAATGTCTGTCTCCATTCAGGACATTCAAGAGTGGAACATTGGCCATCTCAACACACTGCTGGATATGGTGGAGCAGGAGTGTGGCATCGTCATCGAGGGTGTCAACACTCCCTACCTCTACTTTGGCATGTGGAAGACCACATTTGCCTGGCACACCGAGGACATGGACCTCTACAGCATCAACTACCTGCACTTTGGGCAGTCAAAGTCCTGGTCAGTCACGGTTTAATTACCATTGTTTCTGATCACTGATTGAATCCAATCACTGGTTATCATTAACCAATCCACCAATGTGTTCCTGTTGGTCATTATCTAAATGACTTATTGTTTCTGGCACAAGGGACCTTGCAAAGCACATTACCTGATATTTTATGCTAATGTTATGTTGAGGTTATTTTCTATATATAATTTGCCCTCTGGAGGTGCGTCAGAATATAGATACAGCAATATATTTGTTCATTTCCACTTGCTTTTATCAATACACTGAGGCCAAACATCAAGGTTATTATCTAATACATGTCGATGGACTAAAAGGCTGGGATGGCCGGCGACTGCCACCATTATCACAAAAATAATCTCTCAAAATGTTAAAATTACAGCTTTTGATAATATTAGTTACATGTGCTACTTTTAACATGCTGTGTTTTGCTCACAATATTGAGGCTTCTCCTTGATTGTTTAATCTTTTCTGGATTCCTTGTTTGGCAAATAACAAACTTTTGAGATAAGTATGGGTCTTGACACGCTTTTGTTTTCAAATATTTGTTTTCGCTTGAAGATGTTGCGTTCATTCATCATCTCTATCTCTTTCAGCTGATATTTTTAATGGTCGTACAAAGAAATATTTTTTTTAGAAATGTCTTTCCATCAAATATCTTTTTTTTCCGATTCCTTAATAATTAGTAAAGGAACATCAGAGGAATGTTGAACAAATATGGAATGTTGAACAAATGTCATGACTTGACCTTCACATGTATGGTTTCATTGTAACTGCGCAGTAGAGAATGCACAAAGGGAAACCATGTTTTGTGTGAGAGCTACTCTGCTTTCTATTCTGTGCATCATAAGTATAATGTCCTTCTCCCACTCTGGAGGTCTTTGGTACCTGCAGTTTTTTTTATTTTAATCATCTCTGGCACTGCAGGTGGTAATGTGTGTGTGTGTGTGTGTGCGCGCGCGCAGGCTTGCATGCTTGCTCTCACCTGTCTTCCTTTTTGTCACAGTATGTTTCCCCCATCTTCCTCCCTCTCCTGCCTGCATCCTGGTGTTCGGTCTGTGTGTTTGTTCAGCACAGTTGTGCGCGTGTCACCTGTTCCCCTCTCTGTGATGGGATCGTTAAAATCGTCTATCCGTCTCGTTTTCACACCTCTCACTGAGAGCGGGAGGATCTCACTGCGTGCGTGTGCCCACTGCGGACACCTCCAGGGTTGTTCGAGCATGAACACACATCCACGCTGCTCCTATATACCGCGCTTCAAATAAAGGTCCGAGCAAATGATCTAAATGTTGGTATTGTCCGACCTCCTCGCACAACCTCTCCAATGCAGTCATCTGCTTTTGTGTTTTTGTTTCTCTTTATTATTAAGATGGGACAAATCATTTGCGTCATGTCATATTGCTAATCTTTTACACGTGTGTGTGTGTGTGTGTGTGTGTGTGTGGTGGGATAATTACATGCTGTTAAACAGAGCATGCGCCCTTAAAACATGCACTCGGACACACAGTCCTTCTCTCATAGTTCAGCCGGTTGTGAAATGAAGTGTATTCTCCCTGCAACTTGGATCAAAGTCAGGCCTCACCATTACCACTGCTGCGGCTGTACGCGTACACATGGGGGTGAGCGTGTGAAATATCTTCGCCTTGGCAGTCTGTCATTTTCTCCTCGTCTTTATCGCTCGATCACTCTTTTTCTCTTTGTTTTCATTGCTAAAACCCTCTCGATCACCTTTCTAATCTAACACACAGCAGCAGATCTGCTGTCAGATGAAAGATTAGCCTCAGAGCATGTGAGGCGAAAAGGTAGGGTAAGGGAAGGCTGCCGAAAAAAATTTAAAGGGATATTTGGAAGTCACCCAGCTGCAGATTCCAGAGTTTATTATGAATCCATCAATCCTCCTCATCTGTATTCCAATTTCTTTCTTTTTTTTGTGTGTTTTCGAGGAGATAGACGCCGAGCTGAAGCTCCACATATAGCAATAGTTGGATCGTAACTAAAATGTGGATGTTATAGGCTATGACTTGGTGTTTGTAGTAATTAAAAAAAACCTTTTTCATTCAGTACTTAGCTTATGGAGATACTATTGATTATTAGAAATAAATGTTTCTGTAGCCCATGTCTATTAAGGCATATAAATATGGCAACAATTGAAGGTAAACTGTAAACTTCATGCTAAATAATAGATGTATTCAGGCATTTAAACCATAGTTAGTCTGGACTGCACCATTATTTGTAATACAACAATCTATGTCTAGCATTAATGTATGAACAGCCCCATGGTTTTCCTGTTTTCTGGAGGTGCTCATGTAATACAATGCTAGTAATATTTTGTTGTTGCTAAAGCTTTAAACCCCCCCACACCTCTGACTTTTTAGTGCTGTTGGCGCCGTTAGCTGGCTGCTATCCACCGGCTTCTGTCTGCAGGCCATCTGGGGTTCTCTGGGTTGGAGCTGCTGCTGCCTGTGTGGGCCAATCACACGCCGCGTTAAATCTAACAACACTTGCCGTGATTGACTGCGAGCAAAACCATACAAATAACAGTAACCTAAATAGTGCTGCTTTTCATGCACGTGGCCATAAATGAACTATAAACTAAATTTAGATTTCTTTGCCGTCTTGACCCCTTAAATCCACGTGCCAGCAATGCCGCCCTTCCATACATAAATAACACGCCATCTCCTTCAGGGGAGATGTGACGTGAGTTTTATTTTTTTATTTGTGCGTTTCTTCTTTTTGCTGCCGGAGGAAGAGACGTGTTGCTGCCATGCCAACCGTGGTCTTCGGAGGGAGGGAACAGGAGGACACGCACTGATCGACTGATGTGTTTACTTTGAATCCGGTATGGGGAGGAGGGGATCATCTGAGTGAAGAAATGGGAGCGAATGTACACAGAAGTAATGTGATCCCGACCCCCAAAGACAGCTTTTTTTGAAGTAATGCGCTAAAAGCTTTGGAAACATACTTATTTACTTTTCGTACCGAGATGTGAAGATAAATACTAATTCCACCTTTTGGATCGGAGGTGTGTGTTGAACTTAGATGAGCACTAACGCGTGACAGAAGCAGTTGCTTTACCCTCCGGGTACGGCGGAGTTCCACCAGACGTTTGACCGAACACCACAACGACGAGTGCCGTGGGAATTGCGTCAACTCAAATGCCTACGATTTAAAAATGTGCGACCAATTCCCACAGGTGCTCACAACGCCCAGTGAAATGATTTTGGACATTTCGTAAATGTAACTGATAAAAATAACTATTGGACAGTTTTGTGTGGCATCATTGGTTGATATTTTTCAAATCTGATTCATACGCAAATCCAGGCAGGAATAATGAATATTTGAGGCTGCGCCTCTGAAGCTCTATATAAGCTTTCGTCTACAGATGGCAGTGTGGCCCCATAAATTGCCCCGTCTGTCTGAATTACTTTGTCTCTTACTTTTATGGTATTTTTTCCCCTCTCTCTGTGTCTTGTGTTTCTCATCATCTCTGCACCTTTGCTGATCTTTTTTAGTTCCTCCTTTTATTTATCCCTTTGTTTGAAACAGCCTTGTGGTTTTGAAGCTTGAGTAGGAGGGAGAAACGCAAGATTTATTTATTCTTCTTTTTAAACCCCCCGTAGTTAATTGGCTTAGACCTCTGGAGGTTTAAGCAACCCAGGGGGGATAATTGCAATAATAAAGAGCGTTGTAATAACTTCACAAATGAAATGATCAGCTTTTAGCTTTGCTGGCTCCCTCCCACTTGGTTTACTAATAATCTTGCTTTCTAAATGTAGCATCTAAAATGTGATTTCATGCTATATTGTGTGTGTGTGTGTGTGTGTGTGTGTATATGTATGTATATATATATATATATATATATATATATATATATATGTATATATATATATATATATTTCACAACTCAATGACTTGGATCTCATTGATACCTTGCTCTACGAATGAAGCGAGTTAGTTCCACATTGTGTGTTCAGTAATACATCTGAATCAGTTGAAATAATATAAGAGGGCACATATTAATTGCAAATCTGCACCAATATCACTTTTTCTAAGACCAGAGTACATCCCATGCCAGTGACCGTAAAACCAGCATCTCCTGTTATTAGCTATTACATCTTCCCCCCCCCCACTTCCCTCTTCCTCATTTGCCCTTCAACTTATACATTTATGTCCGGGCAGCGTCGCTTTCAGGGGCAGTAATCTGATAGTATCCTTTTATTATTAAGGGATGTTACAATGTAACTCTAAGCAAATTTCCGAAAACTGAACAGTTTAGAGGAAAGGGAGCAACTTGTTCTGTCCGAATGGTGTACAGTATGCCGACGTTCCACTTTACTGATCACCCTCCTCTCCCATCTGTCTGCAGGTATGCCGTCCCACCGGAACATGGCAAGAGGCTGGAGAGGCTGGCCAAAGGTGAGGCCCCAGTGAGGCTTTCACTTCAAATGTATTTCACTCTTCTCCTCCCGGGATTTGTCTATCTTTTGTTATTTTCTACTACTTTTATAATATAATACATACAATCCCAATTGTGTCTCACACACCGTGTCTTTGTGTCACAGTTGTTCCTTCAACAACCTCCCCCCTCTTTTTGATCTAAGATTTCTCCCTGCGTCGCTCCCCTTTTATTCCCACCACTTACTGTTCTCCTCCTTCATTCGGTCCCCTGTTTTGATCAATGAGGATTAACTTGAGTGTTGCGAGTTGCTCAGAGTGAGGCATTGGTTGTCCTAGTCCAAACTACATCAAAAAGACTCACTGTCTGGCCTTGTTGTTGTCTTTGTAAAGAGGTGAGAACCAATCAATGATCGCCAAAGTGGCCTGAACATAGTCCTTGCTAATATATAATACACAACATGTGATATTTGAAGGACAAGCACTCTCTCCACAGGGAAGCAAACTATCCAGGCAATATTCCGTTCATTATTTACAGTGCAATGTTTTTACTTGTAGCCAACCGAGACATGCAGGCACAATCGATGTTTTTCAGTATGCCTGTGTTCCGCTAAATCCTGCTCATCAACAGTGAGAGAGACCCATTTCCTTTCCCTCAAGCCCTCTAATGTCGGAGTTGCACTTAAGTGAAATACCCGGTGAAAACCCAGCAAAATATGTGTTGAAAATAACCTCTGCCTTGGATAATATGACCAATTTCACAGCAGACATTTATAACCCTAATCATGGCTGCTTTGGTTGTTCCATTGCCACAGGTCACATTGACTTCCCGACCCATCGTAATAGAAGTGCACCGCAGGCAGTGTTACTTCCACCTTTCCTAGTCAAATATCTGCTTGTGGGACAGAGGTATTATTTTTGACAACTTAAGTTCCAGTACACAAAGGATTTGCTGCTAGAGAATCACCTGTTTTTGTTCAATTTCCATAAATATCAAAGTACTGTGCACTGACCTTTTTGAGGCAGATTGCCACTTCCAGTTGGTTGTCAGGTGCATTTCCAAAGGGCCCCATTTGCCCTTCTAGTGCTGCAGTTTATCACATTCTAGCTGATTGGACCAACCGTTTCATATTATTAGTGGGAAGAAGAATTAGCTTGAGTCAGTGACGCTAGCAGTTCCGCGGTGGCTGAAGAACAAGATGTATTTAATATTAAATGTATTAAACGTTTAGTTCCTGATTGCTGTTCTGTTTTTAATGAGATTTGTAAACTGCACCCGAATTGATTCGATAAGAGATTCAAAAGAATTCGGAAATGGTAGCGAAACTGAAGTTGTAGATTTCAAACCCCAACCTCGAAATGCACACCGCAGACATGTTTTATCAGGAAACTCCATGTGGGCATTGAGCTCAGTCACAGTCAGATCGCAGCCTTCCCTCTCCTCTCATCCAAGCAGCTGGCAGTGGGAGTAAGGCAATGCCTGTTATTTAACAAGCATCCACTGTCCTATCAAAGCCATGGTCGGCAAAGATAGCTAACTGTTTACGAAGCCCCGAAAAGGCAGTTATGATCGAAGTAGGAATCCCTAATGGGGCCCGGGGACAACTGTCTTAAGTTAAGGTTAAAACTCCTCCCAGAACATTTGACACTGCCACAGTCGTAGACCTTCTCGCTCCTCTCCGCATTATTTCAGTGATGCTTCAGACCCTTTTTGGTTGGGGGTGTGTGGGGGACTGGGGTCCAGAGTTGGAGGCTGGAAGTTAATTTTCAAACTCAAAAGGACAGAATGAATCCTTTAAGTTAATATTACCCCGTGGAGAGCTCGGAGAGCCAGCTGCATTTTAATGGGGATTAATACCCGTGCTCTCTCTGCACATTATTCACCTTTTTATCAGCTCCAACAAGCAGGCAGGCAATGAGAGAACCGAAGCCCACTTTCTCTCTCTCTCTCTCTCTCTCTCTCCCTCTCTTGCTTTGTTGGGTGGAACAGAGGCTGAAACAATGCATGGAAAATGAAGGATGAAATGGGTGCAGATTATACTGTCAGTCACATTAAACTTTAACTGTGTGGAGGCTGGGATGGACCCCCCCCCCCTTTGAGGCAGTGCCGGGTGCAGACGGTTAAGAGTGAGCGATGGAGAATTTTTTCTTTTGATTATGCTGGAGCCGAGTCTCTGTCTCCAACAGCAAAAGTGAGCCTTTCATTAGACAGTGACTTTGAAAACCTGATATGTCAAAGGGGTATATTCTGATTGTAAAACAGTGTTTTTAATAGGGAGTCACCAATGAAACACCTTTTTAGTCTATTCGCAATGTCTGGGCTCGACCAATACCAAATTAATATCTTTCATCTTCACTTTGTGGAAGATACTGGGATCCTTACTGTATGTAGAAGGCACCATCAGGCTCAACTTGACTCCTACTTCGTGCGCTTTGCTTATATTGTAATAGTAGTTAACATATCACCTGAAACGTGGTGATCTAAACTTTTGTGTTACAATACAACCACCTCACTCCCCAAAACAGTAGGAATGCACCAATATCTGGTCGATGCTGACTCAAATGACAATTCAACCATATGTTTTCATCTATAGATGCAAACATCTACAGATGAATCCCCTGGCCACCAGTTATTCCGTATCCTATAGCTGTAAACCGAGCTTTCAATTATAGTCCTTAGAAAGAAACCAAATGGGCAAAAGTTAGAATAAGCATGGCAGACAGACTTTATATCGAAATATAAAAGAAAATTGCATCTAGTGTGTCTCTACGCACGTCTTACAAGTGTATGTACATCGCGCATTTCAGTAGACGCATAGCTTAGAACAAACTTATCAGGCTCCTCCACTGGAAAAAATATTAGTCACCTAAACATATATTTTTGTTATTAGTATACAGTATTAAAATATGGTGTGTCTGCTGCATCACTGAGTTGTCCGAGCAACGGCTGCTACCAACCCTTCTCTCCGAAATAGGGCTCGGTTGTGGTGGTGTTTCTCCGACAAATGTCATTGTTTTAACATTCAGAGCCTTGAGTGAGGTTTTCGAATGAAGACAAGACATTAAATACAATTGGTGGCCTCTTCCTTCCAATCTTGTTAGTGCTGCCCCTTCTTAAGATTAATGACGCAATATCTGTGTACACAATTGCCTGCCATTGCAAAGTAAATCTTCAGGCAAATGTTTTTTTTTATGGTCCTGTCGGATGGTGCAAAGATCTTTTGGAATTTACAGCACTCAGTCCAAGTTTCGTGCAGTAGTCTTTGTCTAATTTAATGCGGAAGAGATCCCTTGAAATCCTACCTGGAATCACACACACGATGCATTGGCATGAACTTTGGGCAATAAATGAATTCACGTGAGGTCGAGGGGAAAACGGATTTCCTTTTCTGTGTTGTGGGATTTAAAGTAATTTAGGAAACATTGCCATCTTGCTTTTTGTTTTCTACTGCTCCAGCTGAGAAAATCATTGATCACCGTGGACGAGTAAGTGATCAAGTCTGCAATTGTTGCAAAACCTACTACAGGGATGGGCATCGGGATATAAAGCGCACATTGCTACGTTGCATTTGTCTGTGGTAGCGCCTCCTGGTATTTGTATACTTATCCGTGGGTATATCTGGATTTTCAGCGACCTGTCTTTGCTGTCGCCCCCTGCAGGCTTCTTCCCGGGCAGCTCCCAAGGCTGTGACGCCTTCCTCCGCCACAAGATGACGCTGATATCTCCTTCCATTCTGAAGAAATATGGCATTCCCTTTGACAGGGTGAGTGCCGACTGCTCCGTGTTGCATGAATTAAAAGGATATTCTGTTGAGGGCTCTATGATAAAAGTGTTCATTTTGGTCAAACGGGTACAATCTCTGCATCACTGTTTGAAGCTTCCACATCTTTAATTCAGCCAGTTTTGAATGGTAGTCACGATGTGTGCTTACACCCCCCCCACGACCTTCCATGTTTGCTCACTCAAGTGTTTGGCTTAAGTACAACAACAAAGAAAGCTGTTACAGGGATGTATGACGATATATTATTTAATGCAGGTTTTCTTTATAAATATCGCTTCAACAATACGTAAATGTACAAACCTATTTGGCCAAAGGGACTAGTTAATGGTTCAGCTTTGACGCAAACATCCCAAATGTTGAAGGCTGCACTATTGATACAGAAGGAGAAATGATTGTGTCTGGTTGTGTCTATCATAGGAAATTGATTTTCCTTCTGTTTTTGACAGACTTTCTTTCTGTTTTTGTTCTACTTGTTACGCAATTGGAATCTTCAGAGTGAAAAAAATAATGAATAAGACAAAAAAAACTGGCACAGAGCCGGAGTACAAAGTTCTCCGCCGTCGCAGATGGTCTCCGCCATCCCATTTATCGTTTCACTCCCCCCCCAGGACGTCATTATCACAGCGAACATGCTACACGTTACACACCTACGGTATCTCTCGATTCATGCGTAAAAATAAAACCGTCTCTTTCCGTTCTTGCAAGAGTAAAAAGGGATGTTTGATATCTGAACTACTGCCTTTAGTTGAGGAAGTTTGTCTCTCTCAGTCTATAGCCCCGTTTCTCCCCGCATGCCTGTCACCTTCTCCGGGTTGATGTGTGACTGCCTGGATCCAGACTTCAGAAAAAAAAGTTGCGATCCACAGCCAGACATATAGGGCTTAAGTTTTGGGGCAACACATTGGAAAAAAAAAAAGAAAGAATGTACTTAACTTGTCTTCTTATTATTCCAAAATCTCAGAATAACTCTTGAGCTCATGGGAAGACTCTCAACCCGTGAGGCAGCACTAACTTTGGGCTGAATTCCTTTTGCTGTGAAGTCAGAAAAGCTTAGAGAAAAGTTGCTGCAGTTGTTGAACTCCTGAGTAAGACCAGAATACGTTTCAGAATAATATCTGATCATTCTTAAATGGACATCTCATTCGGAGGCACCGTTGCAAGTAGCACACGCGCACTAATCAAAAACAGCACTTGTTTGGCTTCCCGGAGGAATATCTTGCTGAGCCTGCTGCCCCTGCAATCAGGCCCCGGGGAGAGGAAGAAAAAAATGACAAAACGGCTCTCAGCGGGCACAAGCATTCACCTGAGCATAGAACTGATTCTGTACATTTAGGCTTCTGCTCTTAAGTTATTGCAATCCTTGGATATTTACAGACTATGTAACTGTTATATATCTACTCAGAGGGAAACATGGCACTTTAACCATTACTGGAATTACTGGACAATATTAGTTCCAAGCTACTTTGTAGATTCAGATTTTTTGACTATGTATTATTAAGCATTGGCTCATTATTAAGAGGATCAATTGGTTACAATAAGCTGTATCTTTACAAGCTGCAAAACATACATAAATACATAATTATAACCCAATATAAAACTACTTTTGGGGCTTTACATGGGTATTTTGAATAGTTTATTTATAAACACTTTAGTGTAAATGTTGATGAAATTGCAAAACCGTCCCATTCGCCATGCTTTGTGAATCGTCCCGATGGGTTGGCGCGGTTGCCAACCGTTCGCTGCAGATTAGCGGTCCTGTCAGGAACAGGGTGCTCCGTCGCTCCCCGCAGGGTGACACTGAGTTCGGGGCCTCAGGAAGCAGCCGTCCGGGGGAGGATTGTTAGCTGACGTGGCGAGAGACACTTTACCAACCGAAGTACCGCCCGTCACTGCGCACCACTGCAGTGTGACAGGGCAGCCAGTCCATTCGTTGAAGTGTAAAAATATTTTTTGGTTTGTCATTATTATGGGACAATCTGGACTTTGGCTTGCTGCCTTATTCTAATGGCAGAGTTGTAGTCAACCAAGTTATTGAAGGTGTAAAAAGGAAGCTGAGAAATGTTTCTGTATAACAAGTTTTCATATAATCACTGTAAAGAACAAATAGTTTCTTCTTACTAATTATTTCTACTAACATCAAAAATGATTTTCTTGTTTCCCTCCCATGCTTCACGAACAGATTACTCAGAATGAAGGGGAGTTTATGGTGACCTTTCCCTACGGCTACCATGCTGGCTTCAACCATGGCTTCAACTGCGCAGAGTCAACTAACTTTGCCACCCTGCGCTGGGTCGACTACGGCAAAATGGCTACCCAGGTAAGTTTGTTTTTATTCATCCCTGCATCAATGAGGTATTACAAGGTAATAGTTATACATTCGAATTGGGAAAGCCGGGCAACTAACAATACAGCTCCCATGTTGGGAGCTTCCTCGTCGTCGCACAAAAACTCCGTGGGGGCAAATGCAGACATTACTCTTGAAAATGTTTCATCCAATGTATGATTCAGCAGCAACTTTACAGCCTTCTTGCTTTGGCTGCTCTGAAGGAAAGAAGTAATAGATCATATCAAAATATAAAACCAGCGTGCCTCTCTGCTTCACACCATCTGTTACCGACACTAACCGCACCCCCGCATTCCTGCATTGACGCAAGCTGCCTCCTTGCTTGTGGGCTGCTGAGCATGAAATTGACAGGGCATGGGTTGGTTATAGACGAGAGCCCATATCCAATGTCCTCTGGAAGAGCCTTTCCCCTTGTCTCCTTCTATACATTTTGTGGGTTACAGATGTTTGAATGCCCACACATGTGAGTTGGCCCTTTTTTTTCTCTTCTCTCTGCTTTCTCTCTCTGCTTGGCCACACGCCGAATTCATGAGTTGCCAGTTTGCAGAACTACACGCCTGTCTCTTTCTCCCCCTCTTTCTCATTTTCGCCTCCCCGCTTTACCCATGTGGCCCCTTATCATTTAAGAACCACTCGTCCAGGCTCCGGCAATCTTCCTACTTCCATCCGGCCCAGTGCTCAAGGGAGCATCCCTACTACACTTGTCTCAGTGTAATGAAATAAGAGTGGTCCACTCTGCGCTGCTTATTCAAGTCGACAAATCGCCAGCGCGAGGCGCACACACTCGGAGGAACGTGAAGGAGAAGAGCTCGGCCAATGCTCTTTCTGCATGTCCACCATTTTCCTCTTCGCCGTGCCCACTGACTGTATCGTTCTCTCGGGGCGGTGTAGTGCCGTAGATGTTACAGAGATGGTCCCGTAACCAGTGCCGCTTAAAAGTCAGTCCCAACAGCAGCGGTTCGGCTTGTCCTCAAGCAAAACCGTGACTCCCTCACTAAAGGCTGGCGCATGCTTCTGCGTCCGCGTCGTTGTGTCGACGCACTCGTTTCAATTCATGCTTCTAAAAGTCCTGTGTGTGTTGCAGAGCAGTTCACCTCCAGAACAACAGGCAATGACGGGTTGTATAAGCGGTCATATTTACGCATTTCTTAGGACAAAAGTTCTTAAATCTGATCCGTTCTCTCGTAAACATTCTTCGTTTTAATAATGGCGGTATCGGGCTATGAAAGCGGAAATGTGATACTCCGTAAAGGACGTAGTTAGCGGACCAATCGCAGCCTGGTGCGCTGCGGGAGGCTTGCGTCGGAAGCGACGCAAGCCTAGAAAAATGGCTCGACACACGCAAGGACGCAAGGAGGTGTGAAAAGCGACGCAAACGCAGAAGCATAAATCAGGCTTAATGAATAATTGAGTAAGAAAGGCTCGATGCCATTTCATGGAGTTTGGCTGTCCAAAATGATGACATGAGATGGGATTTTCTTCTGCCTTTGTCTTATTTCATGTCATCCTCGCTTTAGTAAGTGCGCTTAAACCATTAGAAAAAAAACATTTCACAAAGTGCTTAGTTATTTTTCATCGTGACCCTCCTTTATGTGCTATTTAGCTGAATGCAGCAACATTTCCAAACACCTGCTAGCTCACAGGTGGCTTTTTTTGGCCATGGTTTCAGTTGTCAAGAGTGAAATTAGAGCAATGACACCAGATCCATCTAGATAAGGTGTTGAATAAAACTTGAGTGTAAGTTAGTACTTTTGCTACTTTAGCAAAAATACAAAGCAAGATTTTAAAGCAATACAATCCAGTCCTGGTCAGCACAATACACCCTTTTTAGATTGTGCAAGCGTTCCTTGTTTTAGCATCAATTTACAGCTGAACAACAAATGTCAAGCAGGTTGGTTTTCAGTAGTGCACTCAGACGTAGAGTACTAGAAATATGGTACCAAATCTTAGTTTTATATAGCTGGCCTCTGCCAACCACTTGGTCGTCAACAAAGGAGTCTCTCGTCCTCTCTTGGTTCCCGTAACACTCGTCTGTTAACTTGTTTGTCTGTCTCCCCTCCGTCCTCTCCCCACTGAGCCTCATCATGTCAGCGCCAAACAGGACGGTGAACGATGGGGCTCACAATTTAATTTGTCACTTTTTGGGCGGTGCCAGCACACAATGGCGAGAGAGCGAGCTCGGGCATGCTTCATGTCAGTCTCCCTCAACACAGGCTCCCCAACTGCTGACCCATCTGTCTGTATTACCAAGCGAACACACACTTTGTCGTGGTCTTAGCAGGCTCACTGTTCGCACCCCATGCAAGCTGTGTGTGCTTCTACTTCCGCTTCTGTCGTTTCTGACTTTGCCGTCCTAATTAACTTTCTCGTCAACATTCTTGAAATAATGATGCCAGTCCCCCGTGATGTCTATGCATTAGATTTGGTATACGCATCTTTTACATAAGGAAAAAAAAAAGTAATTCAGGGGTTCAGCGTCTTGCTCAAATAACTTCTACAGTGGATATTTATAGGGATGAGCTTCTAACAAAACAATAATGCACCCAGCATGTGAAAATAACATTCACAACAGATGCCAGGAAAGTGGATCCTTTGTTCCATTTGTACAAAAACGTGCCCATCTTGATTGTTCACCAAGTGCCCTGATGTGCTTACGATTTCCAAATGTTTTTTTTGTTGTTGTTGAAATAGGAAAATAACTTAAAGCAGCTTACTGGAACCACTGAGTTATCCTACTTAGGTGCACATGCATTCTTTTTGTGAAGTTTGATTTAAAAAAAAAAAAAAAGCCCACTAAGGATGGAAAAAGCACCTTACAGATTATTTCTGAGAATAGTTATGTCTGCAGCACCATTATGTTGTTGAATGTTGTCAATTTCTGTGTTCTGGACCGTAGCATTCTAAATAGAAGCCTCTCTCCGTTTGTTTGGTGCTTTGTCACACTTTGCTGCCGTTCCCTCAGGCTTCCACTGTGATTTTTCTGTCTGCAAGAGGAGCAGAAATCATCCCCTCAGCTTCCCGACTAAATCACAACACTTTTTCATCCTAAAAGTGAATTACGGAGGACTCTGCCTGTCTTAAAAAAAAAAAAAAGCAAAACCTTCCTTGTTTGGACAAACCAGACATTTTGTGACTAGACCTAGAGATTTGTTATTAGACTGTGTTGATGTGCGACCTATGACGGTGATAACCAATCAACAAAAAGCCTTATTTTTGATGTGTGTTCGGTTTACTGCAGACTGATGATGAAGCATAATCTGTTGTAGCAAACACTGCATCAGGCCGTGGGGGGGAAAGATACATGAAAATGTTTTTTTTATATTTGGTAATGAGCATCAAAATATAATTATTGGCCACTTGAGTTTTTAAAGCAAGCGTGTCTATCTCGCCGCCATCAGAGGGCAGCCACGTTATAATGAATGACAGACACGGTGAGATTAGTGTATGTGGTTTCACCACTGTAGACATTTTGCTGACATTTAAAAGGGAAATCATGCAGCTGTGCAGCGCTAGTTATGCAAACAGTTGCAGTTTAAAATCCATGGAAAATGTACTAATCAAAATATATAGTTTGCTGTATATTTAAATATTCCCTTTTCTATTCAGCATGTTAAGCCACTGTTGTTGAATTGGAGTATGTTTTAGGAGATGAGTAAGAGGGAATAAAAGAAGTGGAAGGAGGGACAATGAGTTGAATCAGCAGTATTTCATTATTATTGTTGTCATTATTGCTTCTCTGAATGTATCTTTTTTACATGGGGTTCTAACGGCATGAGCAGTTGAAAGCTAAACAGGCCTCCGGGTCATTATTTAAATATTCCTTGTATTTTAGGATCATCCTTCTGGTTATTTCTGCCAGCCGTCACTGTGTGATCAAAGGAAGCATAAAGAAGTTTGAATAATTCTGTTTTTCCCGTCACTCTCAGACAGGTCAGAATAAAACCGTTTTATTATTAGAATTTGGCACATCAAACATGTCCACTAATTCATTGAGTCTGCAGTATCTAATAATTTAGCCTCATTAGCAGCCAAAGTATACTTCAGGGCTCATTGACTTGCTGCCTCAGGGCGGGTTTGTTTTCCCAGAACTTGTGCATCTCCAAATCTGTTTCCTGCTTCTAATTAAGATTTTATATGATAATAAAGTATAACCCGTCTGGGCCCTTGAGGGTGGCAACAATCTCCATAACCTCTTAATAGTTTCATGAAAAATAAATGAGCCTTTATATCCTTTAACAAATCATAATGGCACATTTTGCCCACCACAATTAGTTTAGGAGCATTACTTATTTGGTGTTCTTTTGCATTTGTAGTGTCCTGGCATGCCGATGTTTTCACTGACTGTTTCATGATGGTAGCAATCAGATGCGCACCCCCGCCCCACACACACACACACACACACACACACACACACACACACTTTCTGCTGCAGCACATTCCTCTCGCCATACCATTTTTGTGTTTCCGTCTGTCAAGTGGTGCCGAGATGAGATTTAGGCCAGGTATTGTTTTGCAGGGGGGGAGGGGGCAGTTTCCAGTAATTGAACATAAGGCTCTCGGTATAGCTCATAACATTTTTTAGCAGCAAGCAAGAAACCCTAGTAAATATTTTGTCTCTGTCCAACCCCATCTTGGTTTTGTTTCTCTCATTCCCAAACTTTTCTCTGCTTTACCAGGCATTACATTCCGCACTGAGGTTTCCTTTTAAAGCTCCTCCTTTCTCTAGTCAGCAGAATGATTCACTATTCACACTGCCATCATTAAGGTTTGTGGAGGCACCCTGACGGGTGATTATAGGAACTATCTCACACAGATGGCTCTCATTTACCTTTCCGCACAAGGCCACATTTACCATAGTACCATGCAGACCAGGTCTTATTACCCACCCTTTTACTCACTTGCATATTGTAGCTGGGCTGCACATTTACATCCCTATGGGACACCAATTATTGGCCCCTCAACTGAACACTCGTGTCCTTACAGAAACTGAAGTGAGCCTATTTCAAAAGTTCCCCCGAATAAGCTTTTTTGCTTTAAAAGTCAACAGATGCAGATCCACAAACTAGGCGCATGTCATTGTCTTTATGGTTGCAGCTGTTGTGCTAGGCTTCTTTTACTTGTTCATGCACACAATTCTCCTCCACACTGCGGTAATATTTGAAATATCATTAAAATAATCACTATCCTTAGTAAATACTTGTGCCAACCGTATTAACTGACTACATTCACGCGGTTGTAGCTCACTCCATCCTGAGATACTGTAATTGGAATAAAATCAAGTTAGGTCAGGTGTATCATAATGAAGGTGTTTTGCGTACCGTATGTTTCAAGTGCGGAATTTTAGTCTATTCACAATATTGTTTATTGCAAAGAATACCGCCTCTTCAGTGGGGAGTATCAAGACAGGTTTGTGGCAGTCTTCTCAGAAAAATCTAATAGATCTAATGATGTCTTGTGAAATACAACAAATTATTCATGTAAATACGTATTTCAGTACAAGGCCAACCTCAGTCAGGTGGATTTCCTGCAGTGACATGATGATATTTACCACCCACTTCTTCTTTCTTTAGACATTCTTCGTTTCAGTAACGTTGTCATATGCAGCGCCTCCTCCATCTGTAGACCAAAAAACAGTATTCCTTGTAGACGAGTAGGCTTGTTTCCTTGTAGTTATTCTCCTAATTTTAACGCATGCCTGTCTCTTAATTCTCTGCTTGTTTTCCTGTAGTGTACCTGTCGCAAAGACATGGTGAAGATTTCCATGGACGTGTTTGTGCGCTGCCTGCAGCCGGATCGCTACGAGCTGTGGAAGCAGGGCAAAGACAGCACCGTGTTGGACCACCTTAAGGCCACTGGGCTCAGCTGCCCCGAACTAGAGCGCTGGCGGGAGCATCGTGTGAGCCACAGAGCCAATGTCCTGAGACGGTGAGCGGTCAAACTACATCAATTGTCTTCAAGTGAAATGTTGGCAAAAAAATGTTTTTTGTTGCTTTGTATCATTCGAATGTGGCTAATGTATGCAAATGAACAACTTGCTGCCAACACAGAGCTCCCTGCTCAGTTGCCATCAACTGTTGTCGTCTAGTAGACTTTTGCCGGCACAAAAAAAAAAGGCTGGCATACAATCTGTTGTTTGAACAACAGCAATTAAAACGAAATGGCAAATACACCGGGAGCATTGGGCGCTAGTAACATGGAGGGAAGTTAATCATTGTTCATTCAGTTTGCCTCTAAAAGGTTTTGATCTACATGTTGTATATTCATACATACATGTATTTTCATGTCAATTAATTGAACACTCGTGCCACACCCCAGGGCCCTGCAGAAGGTGAAGCAAGTCCGTCGGCTAAAGCTGGAGGAGGTGAAGGTGCTGGCGCAGGAAGGCATTGAGTTAAATGCCGCCGAGTACCAACTTCAGGTGGAGCAGCGTGAGGCCCAACGGAGGCAAGCGAGAGAGGAGCGCCTAGCCAAGGAGGCCATAATGACCCTGGAGGCCATGGAGCGAGAGGAGCAGGAGGCTGCCGAGGCTGCTGCCCGAGTCGCAGAAGCTCCAGCCGCAGAGGGTGAGGACGATAAAAGCAGTTGGAGATTGTTTGTTTATTTATGTGCACACTCGAAAAATTCCACTAGATTAATGAGGACACTGTGTCTGCACAATGGAATATGGATAACAAACTATTAAAATGGATTGTTCCAAATAAAAAAAAATCTCATCCTGTCTCAGCTTAGTCCCTACCCCATTAATGATGTCAGTCCCCCATGATGTCTCTCACCTTTTCTGCCTCAAACTCTTTCACGAGCCATCGCTATTCTCAAGGGAACTGTGTCCTGCGAAAACATGATGAAATTGAACCCAAGCATAAAGCCAGGCTGGCATAGAGCAAAGAAGAGCAAAGGTGTAAAAGAGGTTAAAATATAACACACATATATGGTTTAAATAGTGTATTACCTTTTCATTTTAATGTGCCCTAATCGTGTCGTTCCAACCGTGTTGATAAGCTGTTTCTAATAAAGAATAAAATTCAGCTGTAAGCTGCAATGTAACCACTTTAATTTCAGCCTAATTTGCGGCCTCCCCAGCATTTAAATGGAGGCTCTTGAGTGCCATAAATAATCCATTTCTGTTCATCTCACACTAAGTAGACTCAACACGTTTTCCGGTTGGCACAACAGTCCTTACTATCCGTCTAAAGTTCTTGTTTTTTTCTAATTATCTTTGCAAAGAAGCCGAAGTCAAACCACAGAACCCGTCGGAGAACATACAGAAAAAGAGGCAAAAGAAGTCCAAGAAATTGTCAAATATCTACAACACCATGACTGCGTTTGAGGAAGTCTTTGACCAGTTTGCTACAACCAGCACCAAGACGGTCGGTCAACCAGCGGAGGAGAACCTTCTTACTCCGAGACAGAGTGATCTCCCACTAGACAACAAGCGAGATGTGATTGCCGCTCAGGTAAGATTGTTCAGCTTTAAGTTTATTATATTTGTCTCTGATCTGTAGCAAGTTATTAGTTCTTGGCGGATCTTGATTATCTCAAGCCGCAAAAGTTGCCATTTTACTGCACAGCTTTCTAGCTGGCTGATCGAAGAATAGAGTTCGACGGCTACATTTTCATTAGTTCTCTGCTGCAGTTTCAGGTAAAGTAGTTAAATTGATAGCACTGCAAAAATCAACAAGTCCATTAAACAAAAAGTTCCTAATTATTTACATGATATAAGAAATTTGTATCAAAAAAGCTATACTAAAAAGGCATTTATATAAAGTACTTGCCCACAGCAGAACATCTTGTTCTGTTTATTTTAAGGTTAAAATCCCAGTCAAGAAATATAAGTTGAGTCAGTATGAAACCATCTTTATTTCTTTTATCAGGCCTTCTCCAAGGTAAAAATGCCAACCGAGGTCAAAAAGAGTCGGCGTCACCCCCTCAGCAAGCCCCCCATGCGCTCCCCTCTGTCCATCCTCAAGCAAGACCCGACCAGTGACAAAGGTTTGTGTCTGCAAATTGTGTAATCCTTGAGTGCATTTTATTCTAAATATATTTATATATTTTATTTCGTGTCATTTGTATGTAACGTTTTTGTGTTTGCCGGTCGCTGTGAACCGATCAATGTACTCGAGTACCAAATTCCCTTCAGGAAATCTAAACCCGAATCTACCAAAAACATGACCATGTTAATCTATCTATCCATCGTCAGTCCTCTCTCTTAATTATTTGTCCGACTTGGTGTTCTTAAAAAGAAGAAGATGGGATTTGTTTTTAGTTTCAATCTGGAGAAAGAAAAACAATCGGGCAGACAATGTTTCCGATTGCCCCCTTTCTGCCTTTGTCCTTTCATTATGCACAATTACCTGCTTTCAAAGTAACTTTAGGTGACCAGCAGGGGACTTGACTTGGGGCACATACACTTAAGAGGGGTTGATGGGGAGAAAGAGGACTGGCGGGGGGAGAAAATAAAGTCAAACATCGAGCTTATGAAAAGTTCCTTCTGTCCAAGTTTAACAAACTGTCCGGATCAGTAGCTTCAGGGGGCTTCACTGCAAAATTGATTCAAGACCTACAACCGCGAGTTGGTGAAGCTTGTGCTATTTGTTTATCAGCCAATTATATCAGGAGTGGCGGTGTTATTGTCTGGAACCGAATGTGTTATTTGTGTCTCTTTTCTAAAAACAGCCTGGTGCAAAAATGCTTCACCTGGATTTGAGACCTAAATAAAAATAATTGCAGATATCAAATCTACCAACATCACTTCAGCGTGCACCACTTGATATTTTGAATGCCTTTTTTTTTTGTAGCAGCAAATGACGTGCGTATTTGACTTCTTGCTCACAGAGCTGTCCTCCCCCATGCCCCTGGACAGTGACATGAAAAAACAGGAGCACCTGTGGCAGAATCACTCGCCCAACTTCCTGGCGGAGAAGGCCTTTAATGCGGCAGTGGCAGCACTCCAGCCCCACTGCGCTGTCTGTTTACTCTTCTGTCCCTACACAAAGGTACACGCTGCAACAGAAGCACATGTGTGTTCGTGAAGGAGTAAATGTAGTGACGTTAAAAGCAGTAGGTGTTCAGTTGAGCAGGTGAGTGAGGTTGGTGAAGTATAGATTATTTGAAAAACTTTTAACTGTCTAGTCAATGCTCAGAAGTAGAACAGCTCAGTCCTGTCTCCATTCATCACCATCGCGAAGGCTGGCCAATAAACAACGTGGATACAATCCACTAATGTAATTACCTTCTTTCCTCTGGCCTTTGCAGCCTCACAAGGACATTTTTGTCGCAAATGAAACCAAGCGCGGCTCCCTTCCCCGCCTGACTCGTCCCCTGGTCCCAGAGATGTGCTTCAGCGTTGGTGCAGGCAACACTGAGCCTCCACCCACCAACTATCACATTGGAGAAGATGGAACCAGTCCGCTCCTCTGCTGTTCGTCCTGCCACATGCAGGTTCATGCCAGTGAGTATAAAACCTTGAATTGTTCAGATTGCTTTGCAGTGGAGGCATCACTCAGCGGCTTCCCCCAGCGCCGATGAACTAAGCCCACGCAAAAGTGCCAAAATCCGCAGTTCCCTTCACGGCCTCTTAAGGCTGCCTCCAAAAGTAAAACAATCCCCATAGATCGCAATGGTTGAACTTTTAACCGCCCGGTGTTGTTCTCTATAGTAATAAACCTTTTAATTGTACCTTTATGACAACTATACAGCGGGTGAAATCTTTCACCGTGATTGTATTTAGGCATCAATGAGAGCATGGCCTTTGTGGGCGACAGGTGGATGTTGTGCCATGTCGCGACGGCTGAACAAATGAAGTCTTTCCCTTGCATATCAGCGTACAGTCACATTTTTGCTGTTTTAAAAAAGGTGTATTATATAAGCAAATGAACTTTCAAGATAATAATAATAATAATAATTTTCACCATAGTGTTATTTGCTTCCTCCCTGTTGTTGTGGAATGGTTACCATGAGTTTGTTCACTGTGGAGACTCTTAGCTGAGGGCACAGCATCTGATTTGTAACAATCTGTGGGCTTCAAGCCTTCATACAGACAGACAAGCTTTCCAGAAGGACTCTACTGGGCATTTTCTCTACTCTTTGTACTTCATTATATCCCTGAGGCCCTGATAATAGTGTTGGAATAATAGAAGGCACTGAAGATGAGACTCCACGACCGCAGTACAACAATACGTCTGCTTAATCCCCCTGTCGCCACACTTGGTGAGGCCCCCTAGTTTACCTCTCTTTGACTCTGGTTGAACTAGCCGAGAGGCTGCTCAAGCAATGCAAAGGCCTCTCTGAAGGCAACACACACCAGAAGCTTCCCAGCTCCTGTTTGCTCGGCTTTCCACACTTATCATTTTTCACAAAGAAAAAGTCAACCATTCAGGGAATATGGTGTCTGTCACAGCAAAGCGGGAAAGGACAGGCAGCGCGCTAACTTTGTGTACGAGCTACAGGACCATTGGGGCTTAGCTCTACTTGCTAAATGTGGGTTGTTTATTAATATGTGTGTGTATATGGATTGGCGTATTGGTGGAATATGTCAGCGATTGGCAGAGAACATCGCCGTTTGGCTTTTATGGGTTCATTTGATTTAAATTGTCTGCCTCCAACAATGCTGCTCAGGCACTGCTTTGTGAAATGAGGGTTTGGTTCAACCAAACTGGAGTTGGTGGTGGGTGGATCACAGCTGAACCTTTTGACGTGTCAGGCAGCACATGCAATCAGATGAATGACATTATGGACATGAGCTCGGTCAGTGACAGACACACACGAAACAAATCTCCTGGGTTCTTATTCTCCCTGAAGCTGAAGGGCACCTTCAAAAGGCCCGTTCATTAGTGATCCAGAGATGAGCCAGACTCAGCTGGGGAAGCAGCGCTGCTATTGATGAGAGGATACGAAGCAGAAAGAACTCAACGGCTCCGCTCCCATTTCTTTGCTGCTCGTTGTGGGAGTGAACACTCAGACCGGTTAAGGTGCATTCAAAGATTTAGAAGCTTAATTCGGAGAACGGGTTGTGACGGCTTTAAAATTGTTAAACAAAATTGTTTTAAAGGGTCTTGCGTCATTTGCATAGCAATTCATCCAGTAAGTGTTCGGGAAACACTGAATGCAAAATGTTAAAGTAAAGCGATGTTAAGCAATTTGCCTTATGTTTTGTAGGCTGTTACGGTGTGAAGCCAGACTCCGTCTGTGATTCCTGGATGTGCTCCAGGTGTGCAGCAGGAGCCTGGACAGTGGTGAGTAGCAGCACTACCTTGTGACAAACAGCGGTCGTAGTTCCAGCACACGTCGTCAAAACCCCAGAACTACACGTATTAAGCTGAAAATATTCTGTTGCCGGATCTCGTTGTGTGACATGCATTCATTGGCATGCCTTGCTCCAATTGGAAGCATTGCGCTGCAGGAGACCCCTCATATGTTAGTCCATTCTTCAACTAAATGGATGTGATTTGGGCTTTTTTTTTTAAATTAGGTCTGAAGAAATAAATAAAGATATTTTCAATTGCTGTTGTTAAGACTGTAGAGGATCCGTGTCACTCTCTCTTACACTTCCACCACACAATCATAATTTACTTCCTGTTTTGCAGGAGTGTTGCCTCTGCAACTTGCGGGGAGGAGCTTTGAAGACTACCACGGACAACCGGTCAGTAGCGCATCCTTGGGTTTATCACAGATAACAAAACATTGGACATTATTAAACGTAATTGTGGCGTTGTGGAGACCGTAGCGCTGCATGGAGTAGAGAGGGCTGCTCATGTCGAAGTGTCCCTGAGCAAGACACCCAACCCCTAACTGCTCCCTGGGAAGAATGTAAAACCATGGGAAAAACATTATTTAAAAACTGTAGTTAGTATTGATGACTGAGTCTGTGTGTGTGTGAGCAAGACTTAAACATAAAATAAAATTGCGATTATCATTAAAGTGTTACATTTTATAATTTAAATACAAACAAGCTCCTGTTTCAGTAATATACAACGATGCCGGTTGTGTGCTTTTTAGGCAAAGTTATTCTTAAAGTCCCACTAGAAATAGCAGCTTAGTCAATGGTCAATTGATGAGTCGTGAAATGTGGTGATATTTTATGCAATAGATGTGCAGTGATCACGCAGTCCCTGCATGGTCTAGACTACCATGTTAAGGTTTTTTTTGTGGTTTTCTTCCAATATGTAAAATAGTATGGAGACTTTTTGCTGGTCTCACTAGTTTGTTCTTGCTATCTTTTTGATCAATATGAAGGGGTATACGTTTCTTTCTCTTTAACCAGATGGGTGCATGTCATCTGTGCCATCGCTGTAGCTGAAGCTCGCTTCGTCAATGCCATTGAGAGGGAGCCCGTGGATGTCAGTGCCGTTCCAGAGACGCGCAAGAATCTGGTAAATACGACAAAGCGAAACTCATTTCATCTGATATTTTAATCGGCTCTCAGACAAAGTCAAAATCATCATCTTCTGCCTTTTGACAAAAAGTTACTAACCCATTCACTGGAGCTTTTATTGTCTCTGTAATGAGGAATCCTCTCCTCCTACCGATTCCTTTTTCTCCCTCCTACAGCCTTTTCACACATTTGAGCAAACCCCTCTTTCCTGCTGACGGCTTGTGCAGCCGTCTCTCTCTCTCTCTCTCTCCGTAGCCCTCTCTGCTGCTCTGATAGATCCTTTCTGGAGAGCTGAGGAGGACATCGGGCTCACATGTGCTGAGGGGAATGGCTGAATAATCAGCTGTCATTTCTCGCTGCGCAAAATGAACTGCCTTGATCCCGTGGGTAGGAGGCAACTTTCCCAAATCTCTGCTCTTTCTCAAGTCTCGTGATCCCACCTCACAGGCAATGGCAGTGTTTCTGGGGCTTTATAACCGATCCACACATAGTGATGCCTCGCCCCTCTTTGTGTAATCTATCAAGGCGAGTCATTTGCGTCTGAGCGCTGTCGAAGCGGATTTCCATCTCCTTTTAAAAGGACATAAGAAGAAGCTCTAATGATTCGGATGACTGGGCTGATCAAATGTGAACGTGCACACTCGGAAACCAGTTAATATTGCAGTGTGGTTAGCAATCTATTTTCCCTCCCTCTTTAAACATTTGGGTTTCAGTGACCAAGCTGAATTTCTCAGCCACAGTTGCTCCGTGATATCTCCAAAATGTACCTTCCCCCAAAGGAAGTGTTGTATTTTGTACTCGGAGGCACTGGACACTTGCTGTTTTTGTAAGAAAATAGCCTCAAGCTTTGAAAAGCGAGCTACTAAAATAAATCATCATGCAATTTATAGAATTGTATAAAATGGGGGCTTTTGAGGTTGTGTTGACTTAGTGGTTTTTCAATTCTAAATGAAATGTATCATGAACAAACAAATGGACGTACAACTAATGCTACGTGCTGCTTGATTTTATTCTGGTGCTACATGCCAGCACCTGCCTGTGATCTCAGCAGTGGGAAAAATATTCAAGCTTATTAAAACTATAAACCACATCGGCCTTTAAAATGTCACACAACACAGGTCACAAGAGATATTGTTTCCTACATCAGTTCTAAACTTGAAGTATCGTCCTCTCATGTCCAGGACTTGTTAGTGCTCAAAGGCAGATGTACGTCACAACCGTTCATCGCCAGTGTTTGTGTAATTACTTCCGTGCCAGAGGGGGGGAGTCAAAAGATCCGCATTGCAGGTGTACCAAAGAATTTTTATTTTTTATTGACCGGCAATGCGCTGCAATACAGCAGCTCGCAGTGCAATTTGTCAGAAAATGGGGGGTGAAAAAGGGTGAACAATTAGGGATACATAGATTCAGATAATGACTTCAATAAAACAGAACGGTACCAGTCTCTTAAGATGACCAAGCTCCCAAAAGCTGTTTGATTATAGGTTTGTGTGTAATATACATGGAAAAAGATCCAAGCCTGGTGTGTTGAGGACAACTCCCATTCTTTACATCCTGTTGTTCTCTCGTCCAGACTTTTCATCTCTCCGAGCCTTGTTCTCTTCTTTCTAACTGAGCCGAAGAAAGGATGGGGGATGGTGAAGCATAGGGCAAAGACAATGGAGCCATGCTGTGTTGAAGGGTTCAAAGTGAATTTAAAATTTAAAGACGAATGTTGTGTGGCTGCATGTGCCGGATGACACGTGTCAAAGTGTCTCGGCGGAGAGGGGACTGGTTTTCACGGCCAAAGATTTGGTTGACTGGTTATTTCACACTCGGGATGTGTGGATGGAATGAAGGGATTCGACGAGGAAATGTTCCAGGAGGGGATACAAAAATTCCTTGTTTGATTGTGCAAGAGTAGGAGTCGAACTGGTGATGCAAGACGTCAGAAAAGGATGCAAAGGAAAAAAAGAAAGATGGACTTTTTTTGGGGGCTTGTTATAGTGGCGATTCAGCTGTTCTTCGAGAAAGATGACTGGACTAGCATGTTCTGTGCATTTATAAGTTAAAGCTCTTATGTGAGGCCAGTCACAATACTTTGAATCTTGCTTTTGGCGCCCTATTACACGTCACATCACCTTCACCTCAGAAGAGAACCTCCGTCTGTTTGCAGGTGTAAGTCCTTCTTTTATATAAAGATCAGTGTGAGAACCTGCGTGTGACTGCAGACCCAGACATCCGTCTGGTCGTGTCAGCTGTCACTGATCATTTCTATAATATTAGTATTGTAGAATGTAATTTTTAATTTTGAAACCGACCTGAGTCTGTAGATTTCTGACAGGATATCAGACTGTTTAAAAGTACTGAGCTGAAATAAAGCTGCAGCCAATATCCAAATAGTCCAAATGCATACTTTTGATCACCCTCTAACCATATTATTACTCAGATGGAGCTTTTTTAGATTTCTAAATCTTGGCTAATTTCTTTCTTCATTTTTTCTTTCGTCTGTGTCTTCTCCCGGTCAGACTAATGCCGAGCAAATATATTTACAATGTAACGTGGGCCACGGTCCACCAATCATACATTTTGTAAGTCTCATAAATGATTAATTAATGGACTAAAGTTAATTGTTTTTTTGTTATTTACACCGTTTCCCGCGTTGAATAAGGCTCTTTTTTTGTATTGAAGATAAATCTACATCCAATTGTTTTAAAATACTCTGTCTACCTGTTGCCATGGTGAATCTTGGTATTGGAGCTTAACTTGTGGTCGCTTTTTCTATTCAACAAGCAGGAGCTTAAGTCAGAGTAAAAAAAAAAAAAAAAAAAAAATTGAATGAATAATCTCTGATCTTCTCTTCTGGAACCATAAACTTGGAGCTTCAAAAGGCATTTTCAACTCAGGGGTACCTCCATAGTTTGCTCAACCTGCTTTCTAAAACTGGGCCTGAACCAAAGTTCACTGACACACTAGACTGACACATGTGCTTTATAGGATGATCCATAATTGTGATAGACTGTGTTTTCCCAACTACCAGTACCACGACATGTTGTCCCTTTGGAACTAAACTGTCATGTTCACTGGCAATGAGGAAACTAGTAGTTTTGTTTCTTTTTAAAAAAAAGGAAAATCCTTGAAGGTTTATGAAAGACATTTGTGTCTTTATCAGTCTTTTTTTATTTTTCGTTTTTTGTATTGTAGAAGTGTGTGTTCTGCCACGGAAAGACTGCCAATCAGAACCGCGGCGCCTGCATCCAGTGCTCACACGACAACTGTGCCACGTCCTTCCACGTCACCTGCGCCCAACTCGCCGGAGTTGTCATGACACCGGCCGACTGGCCGTACGTGGTGTCCGTCACCTGTCAAAAGCATAAAAGGGGCTCCTCCAAGGTACGTGCTTTCAAGAGAGACGTAGTCAACCGTTAAATGAAGTAATTTGTATTAGCAAGCTTGAATGCTTGTTCTCTAGGTTGTAGACGTTTTTTTTAAACTTCTCAGACCATTAGATGAGAAGTTAATCTTTTCGGTTTTCGTGGAGGTAAATAAAGATTTCAGAGGCAGAGGACTATGTGTACCGCTACTGGATGAGCGCACGCAGGTTTAACCCTTTCTCAACCTCAAATGATCTGTTTGGGTTTTACTCCCTCCAGCCGAGGACGACATCCAAAGGCCCGCAGAGTCCGAACCTCAGCCAGAGGGTGATCGGGCGCAACAGTGACGGCTGGTACTACCACTGCACCATCATCGGCATGGCAACGCAGACATACTACGAGGTCAACTTTGACGATGGCTCGTATTGTGACAACCTGCACCCAGAGAATATCTTGGTGAGTATTCTTACAGCTTGGAGACGTATCACTGTACAACGTGTACGTGTAACTTTTTTTAATATATATATATATATATATATATATATTATATATAAATCTTTGCAATTTGTTTTACTTGGTAAATTGAATTTGTTGCCTCATGTCAACTTCTTCTAAGGTGCTTATTGCTGTTTTAAAAGTGTTTATTAAAATGACGCATGCCTGGGGAGTGAGGGGTTATGGGAGGGAGCGTCCCCACCATAAACTCCGTTCCATCTCAATCCCCTTTCAACTACATTGTGTTTCTCCTCCTTCAGAGTCATGACTGCTTGCGTACCGGCCCTCCTGAGGTGGGGGAGTTGATTGTGGTCAGCACAGCCGAGGGTCAGGTTGTCAATGCTTCCTTTGTCAGACAGCACACCCACAAGTTCTACCAGGTGAGGAAAAACACTATTGGATGTTAACGTTGCTCATTTACAGTCAAACCTGGCTGCAAAGTCACCATTTTATACAAAGAAAAATACATCAGAATTTAGATAAACAACACAACCCTTCTGCAGTGACTTTAAGTGATTGAACCTGTAAACTTTCATTAACATGGTGCTCGGCCTAATTCCTTTGCCAACCCCTGTTTTGATTCCCTGGTTCTGGAATATATATCAATGTGTGAAAAGGCTGCCTGCCTTTGTAGATTTTGATAAAGTACGTCAATTAAACTAGGAAGCGAGAGTAAGCATCACTGATCCATGCTGGGGGATTTATGGGGCAAATATGGAGAGTGCTTACAGAGTAGAACATGCAGAATTGAAAAAGATTATGTGTCAGGGAATGACATCTTGAAAGTTACCTGCATACATAGATGTAGCAGGAATGCATTAACTGATGGAAGCTTAAGAGAGGCTGTTAATCTTTTGCCTTGATGATCTTTTTGTTGATCTGTTAGTGCTTTAGTTATATAAATGCACACTAACAGAACAGGGATAGTGTTTTTGGAGGCTGTTTTATAACCCAAACCATTTGGTGAATTGCAGTCCCACTGAGTTAAAGGCTAGTGAAACGTAATATTGAACTCATGGTTTAAGGTAGGGATTGTTTGGCATTCAGGTAAGTTTAGAAGTCTCGTTTATTGACTGCCTCTTCAGAAAATAAGTGTGTTGCATCTTCGTCCACTCCCCTCCCATCTGCACTGTACTTGGAATCTTGGAAGAAGCGCTTTTTCAATGAATAACAACCAAATCTCCAGCTGGTCACTTTGTCAGGGCTGCAACCCTGACCGTGTCCTTGTATTTCTTTTTGTCTTTTTTAAAAGCTAGATACATTTTAGGCTTCTGGGCTTTGGTCAAAGACATTTTGGTGTTTCTTGATTAAACTATTTGTTGTGGATAAGACATCTGTGACTTTCCGGCTTATCATCTTTCAAATCCCTTCTAAAAACATTTTTATATCTTTATATCCAGGGTCATTTTAAATATTGTTTATGAAAAATGTTTATCCTCTGGTATTTTTGATATGATTGTGTAAGTTTCTAAAGACAAGTGTCTGTCCAGGTTGAGTTTCAGGATCAGAGCCAGTTGATACTAAAACACTCAGAGATCCATCAGCTGGAACAGGATCTGCCAAAGAGGGTCAGGGCAAGACTGGTGAGTGTATTGTTGAAATCATGCTTTTTACTGTCCTCACCCACCTACATGCTCCAGTTAAAGATGGATTTCTTGTTTAATGCAGAATTGTTTAAGGGGGAAATGCTAAGAAAGGGGAGTACAACCAGTATTTGTTAATAAAATGACACAAAAGTGGTTGCTGACATATTTCAAAACTTATTTATTTAAGCACAAAAAGCTGTAACCGTTATCTAATAATAAAAATATCAGCATCATGTTTGTTTAAAAAATAATAGAACACGTATCAATTTGAGATCAACAAATGCCACCGGTCGTCTCCATCTAATTCTTTCCAGTTCAAATTTACGCATGATGGTTTGACGTTGTATAGACCGTTACATCAAGAACAATGCGGTCGCCAGCCGCACACATTCTTTAGTGGCTATTTTTCAGGATTTTAGATCTTGGAATGCTGCAGCACTCGTCACGTTAACGTCACACCGGCCAATCGTGTCATCCGGTTGAAAGAGACCGGTCAAGCTGAAAAACTATTGTGAGGGATTTATGGTGCTACAAGTCAATTTTTATGTTTTCTCAATCAGTAAGGCTTACTACTAAATTGCAGAAACTTCATCTTCTTTTTTTTTTCACAGAATAGAATTTGCACATTATTTTTCAATCCATAAATGCCCCATTCAAAGTAAATATGAAGTGAATTCTGACACATTTGGATGGAGGACACTAAGTCTGTACCCATTTTTCGTTTTTATTACTTCAGGCCATACCTGTGCCGCTGGAGGAGGTCTCATCAGCGGATGAAGCCCAAGCAGCAAAACGCCGGCGCCTGCCCTCAGACTCCTCCCCAGTGGCTGGACCCTCCATGGGGATGTCAAATCAACCCGCCTGCTCCCTCGCCGCAGCGCCAGTAGGAGTGCTCGCAGCAGAGGATCACAGTATTCACACACTGCCGAACTCACAACCTCCGGCCCGGCCCAGCATTACCTCGCGTGACGTCGTCGGCCCACCCGATGGTATTCAGATGGACGCCGAGACGGCAATGGACATGAGCGTCGCCCTCACCGATGCTCTAACCGAGTCATCCCTGGCCTCGGACCCCACGCCGGCACCACAGTCGACGCCTTTTTCAGTCGACGTCTCCTACATGGAGAGCATCTTCCATTCACATTTCGCTCAGGACAGCAGTCAAGGACCCCCGTATTAACAAGTAACTCCACTATATTGCTGCTCTGCTAGTGGAGGCAGACCCGTTAGGAAGTAGGGCGGATTCTACCGAGGGCTGTATTAACGGACAAAACCTTTTCTCCACTGACTCAAGAGTACAAGACGGTAGCGAAAAAGGCACACGAGCACTCTTTAATGCATGTTTGTTTTCTATTTTTGAGTTAATGTATTTGCATTGGTGCTTTAGGTTGCTCTGAAGCAGCAGCTAAATAATTTCTGTTTTTTCATTTGAATATTATTATTAATTTCTTTGGCCTTCTAGGGTTTTTCCCCTTTTGGTCCGCTGCTGTGCTTTTCTGCTCCATCATAATATGAATACGTCTCTGGGTGGTATCAACTCCATACCTCGTTGCATTAACTCAATAACAGCACACTCCCATTTTCTTTTGTACAGGACTATAATAGCCTCTCTGCACCGAGGCTCCGTGTGGACTGAGCCTTTTTCTTTCTTCTTTAAATAAAATAACCAGCAACAAAATATATATATTTTTCAATGCAGCTTTGAAAGTCTTTGGTGGAACTAAACTTTCACATGGTCTGATGGTCTGCAGGATATTCGCAGTACGGTATTTTATTGTTAGAGGTAAATGGGGAATTGAGGTAAAACATGTATTGTAGGAGGAACTCAGTATTTAAATGTCTTAGTCGAATATTGAATTATTTGTAATAGAAAAACAGTTTGAATGTTGAATGCAAACCCGAGTGTCTGTAGGATGCATAGAAACGTTGTGAAGATGTGTCATGGTAATTAACTAATGCAATCTTATGTATTGACATTAAAACTCATTTGGCAGCTCCACTTTTCACCCAAAACTCTCAGGGTTCCTACATTAGGAAAATGAATTTCATCATTTCGTCCAACTCTTCACACATTTACAGAAGTTCACAACAGCCTAGAGAATGTTGCACGGTCTTAATTGGAATAGGAATATTCAATACATTGCTACTGTTAACAGTGTCCACTATGAATGACATCTTTCTCCTTTTAGCACACCAATTACCCAAAACTATAACATCAATTACGGAAGTACGGGAAATGTTTCATAGTTGGAAGAAAGCAAATGTGTATTGTTTGTAGGAACCCTAAAATCTGGAAACATGTTGCCTCTTGGTTTAAATTGTATGTACAAGTCAATATTGTGTATATATATATGGTTTTGTATTTTTGTGTCCTTTCTATGTTCTTTTTCTGAATATAATCCACAAACGTGCGCAATCTAAAATATGAATTGACATTTTAAAAGGCATATTACTCGGTTCGTACTGTCAAATACATATTTCTCCCCAGGTATGATCAATCTGTGCTTCAGAGGTGCTACTACTGATGAGTTTCCCAACACTGTCACCTTGTACATATCGTAGGCCTTGTGTTGTGAATCAAATGTGTAAATGACATGCATATACCTTTCTTTTTTCTGTCACCTCAAATGAAATGTTGGGCCTCAGGTATGGTCCTGTGTCCAAATAATTAAGATATTTTATTTCAAACGGATTAAAGTTGGTTGCTAGTTTCAAGTGCTTCAGTGTTTTGTGTTTGAATAGCTCAGACTTTTCAATAGCAGTTTCTGGGGTTTTCAATACAGAAAGTTCTTAAATGCCAATTTCTCTTTTTAGAAGATTTTTGGGTGGCGTTACTAGTGATGTTCTGCACTTTTGCATTCATATGTTATGCCACAACCACACACATTTTCCCCTAAAGCGTGGGGAAATATATATTTTTAATCATTTAATAAGGATTAACGCACACACGGTTGATGTGGGTCTGTGGCACAGAGTGTCTTTTTCAGACATTATCCTGCGCCTCAAACTGAAGAGATTTTCGATAATTGGCAGTGCGACCAGCAGCACTGTGGTTTATTAGCCGCAGTGTCTCATTGGCAGGAATTCTTTTATCACACAGCAGGGAAAAATGTTTCTGTGCTTGGCTGCTGGGCTTGTCACACCACTTATTTGAAATGGTATAATTAGCAGCAACAAAACCCCGGCTGAATCTCCCTCAAAATAAATTATAAACGTACTATTTTAGAAACTTTTTACGTGTTCTGTGTAGGAACGTTTCTATTTGTATTACAAACCCAGAGAAATGCTTTAAATCCATAATATACATTCAATTAGGTATTTGTCAATTGGGGAGAGCAGAAGCAATGTAAAGTACAACACTGACCTATTCATCTAAATTGATATGGTAAACTCATCTATACATGCATTCAGCTCTTTAGCTGCTAAGTGCTGTTTGGAACTGAGCGGGAAGCGCACACTGAGTTGTAAGGGCTCAAAAAATCGCTGCCAGCTTCATGAAGAAAAGATAATGTTGAGAGAATCTCAACGGCTCAGTGGAGCTGCTGATTTGAGAATTTATTCAATGATGGTTTGTCACCATCCACAACACTTTTCACTTTATTGGAACTAATTTGGGTTGTATTTGCTTGCCGGGTTGTTTCCCAAAGCGTTTTACTAGCAATGCAAGTGTGTTGATTCACAAATAGTTCCAGATCACAAATTTAATTGCGATACCAATTTGTTCTCGGGAGTTAATTTAAGAAAAAATGATTCAATCTTGCAAAATGTTTATCATTCAAATGTGTTTTCTCTGGAGGGGACACTCCTGCTTCAGGATTCTGACAAACTATTCCTAAAACACGTCCCGTTGTTTACGGATTGCTGAACAATCGTGCTGTTCCATTGTAAAAGAAACCCACGTCACAGGACACAAACACTCTCTGAGAGATGCTTTAACGGTATCAGTTTGCTTCCTCGTTGTCGGCATACTATCAGGATCTACTGTGACTCTTCAGCCTTAAGAGCCTCTGAATTTGGAAGATGCCCAAACAAAAAAGGACAGAAGAGGAAGGGAGGGAGAGAGAAGGTCACTGCAAGAACAAGACATTGTTAATGCCAGCTCCCTCCCTCTCTCTCTCGCTCTCTGTGACACACACACACACTCTCTGCATTGCTCTAGCTGGATCAGGGTGGACATTATCATTCTGAAGTGCCCACTGTGCCTTTACAGAGGAACTGGGGATGTGCCAGCCTGGCAATTACTTTAACAACTTCATAGTTTGATTTCTGTGTTCGGCTGAACCCGGCCAGGGGTGAAACTAAGGAGAAACACGAGTACGAGGAGGCTAAAAGACAAAAAAGGTTTATGTTGAACCAACTGCAGTTTAGACATGGAAAAGAACAGGAAACCTGAGATATTTTGATCATGTTGAACAATGCCTGTGAGGGAGAGTGACCTCAAAGCTGGGGACATTCATTGGGAAATTGTCTCCACCAAAATGTCCTTGAGGGACGACACTAAAAGCTCCAACTAGCCCGATGGCTATCAGACAGTGGCTCGCATGGAAATGGAGATGGGTGAATGCAGCGGGATCTAATTGCAGACGAAAGTGGCAATTATGCTGAGAAGCTGGTTGATATGACGGGTGCTGTTATAACCGTAAGCTTTTATTACATCTCAGCCTTGTAAATCACATCAGTGATGTAGTATTTTACATAATCACCGTCTGTCAACACTGTCCCCTGTTCCTAGGGAATTTGATTGAGAAGTTGGAGGTGCCTGATCTTTATCAACTTCTCTAGACTTTTAAGCTGTGTATGTGTTGAAAATTTACCCTACTTTTTGTGTTTTGTTGTGTGCTCATTTACATCTTGACTTCTCCTGTCTTAATTGGACTGATTTTGGGTGTTAGTGGAAACATGCCTTCTAATGTAATTAGCTAACTTGTTAAGAAATGTGCCCATTTAGACACCCAGCAGAGTCGCACACTATCATCAATTTGGAGTGTATATGTATAATATAGTAATATAATGTGTAGTATATATAAGTAATATAATGTGGTCCTTCGCTCTGGTTCTGGTTTTCTCTTGCTGCAGACACAATTAACAGAGAAGAGAAGCTTGTTGGAGGGCAAGAGGTAAGAAAAAAAGTGTTGGTAAGTGCCAGGCCTTATTAATGAAGTGAATTTCCATTCAGTCACACACAACAAATAAATGGCTGCCTCCTTTAAGCTTTTAATCGGCCCATTAGTCTTCAAGCGACCGCAGCAGCCTCCCCCCCCCCACCCCTCTCCTCCGCTGTGGCTTGTTCTCCTTAGACAAAACCAAATGCATCCATCACCGCGTGTATTTGCATGCCGGCCACACACGCTGACAGAGCTGAGTGCACAGCTGGAGATGCAACATCATAGTTAGTCCCTTACGCGATGAACACAGTTCTCCACACCTGAAGCCCATCTCCTTTCACTCCCGCCAGCATCTAAATGCTCACGTTACTCATTTTCACAAGTAACCTGGAAACTCAACTGTTCAAGAGGCTTGTTGTTTCCCCTTGTTTCCCCTTCCATCTGCACTACAGAAAGTACTGTCTTCTTGTAATATTTCGGCACTTATTTACCACAAACAGTCAGTCTGTGGAGTATTTTTGTTCCATCTGTTGCCAGACTGCAGTGACTTTTATTTGCCGATGTATGAATGAATTGTCATTCTGTGACTCCCTGCATACTGCTCTGCAGAAGAGGGTGTATAAATGACTGAAGCGCAAGATGAATATGCTCTGACAGAGTTTGCTCTTCTGAGTAAGCCTAATTAATCACCAGACAGTGTTCCGTGTGGGTTAAAGAGCTGCGCAAACACAGAGTCAGGCTCTCAGAGAGCTGGCATGCTTATCTGTACGTGACCTGTGCTTACTTTCCCTGCATTTTCCTTCCGTTTCCATCAGCCATGTGCTGCATCCTCGGCTAATTCAGCCGCTTAAAATCTCATTTCAGACACAATTAGCCTTTAGCCCATCCAAGTGCTGTCGCCCGAGGGTTTTTTTTTTTTTCCTTCCATCCTTTGTGAACATTTCCTCTTTCACTTCTGGATAAAGATCGTTATTGGAGGTTACTGAAAAGGAGTGTTGATCGTTTACAGGAGAAAACATAATAAAGGGCCTTTTAGCAGGCCTATTAGGAGCCTCTTAAGACCTTTGCTTGTTGCCACTGCAGGGTTATCAATGCTACTGGGAGCCTTTTATTCATTCGTTTGCCACAGATTTTTTAATTACACTGAAAAAGGGAGAGAATTCACTGCGGCAGAGCCGGCTCTGATGCTTCTATTTATTTCTTTGAGAACTGCAGTGGTTGCAAACCGGGGACGCTTATCATTTTTACTTTGCAGGCAAGTCACAACTAAACTATACTGCGTCTCTTCTGCAGCTGGCTCTAAATGGGTTATTATTTGAAACAAAACTATGGGTCATTTTTGTTTGTCTGAGTGCACAAAGTCTGTTCCTCTTCAGTCTGTGAAGTTTCTGAGAAGAAAGTCAATCAGCTACTTGATTGTGTTTCTTATGAATTCGAAGTAGGACGGGTGTGTCCTGGTGGTTGCAAGTTAAAGGTCATTTTTTGGGACTAACTGTTGAATGGAGAATGGTGTATTGTATATTACTAGGAGAAGACTTTGTTCTAATGCAAGTATTTAACCCTGTTTGCCTTCTTCCCATGCATTGATTTCCACTCAGCACAAACGCAGGTAAGAATCTGACTTATCAGCTCCGGCGCAGGCCGGACTATTTGCTAAGTGATGATCCACTCTCCTGTACTCTTTTTTTTTTGTCTAAATGTTTTTTTTATTTTTGCACAGCCTTCTCAACACTGCCAGGTTCTTAGCTAATTGGCTCTTTGAAGCTTAACTACTGATATAAACCCCATTTTACTTGCTTTTCTTCTGCAATCAATTCAATTGGCCGTTTAATATTTGAGAAATGCATTACCAGGTGCTCCTTAAGCTTTGCATGGGGAATAAAGACAGAAAAGCAGAGGCAGAGACATCGACTGCCTTGAGTCAACAGCTCAACACGTCTCCATCTAACTCTTAAATCATATCGTTACCATCATCGTTATCATTCAGCTCAGGGGTGTGAGACACTCAATGAACTGTTAAGACACAATGCAGATACAGATGCCTGTTTTCAGTCCTCATAACAAAAATGACAAAACAGATTAGCAATTTTGACAGAAACAAGGACAATTTTCTTTAGAGACAAATCAAATATTCTAATGTTCTCCAGAACTCCTGAAATCAAAAGTAACATATTTAAAAGTTCAATTGAACAAAGTACATTTCACCGTGTTAAATATGTGATAAGAAAAAAGAAAAAATACAACACAAGCATGAACTATTTGGATACACACAAACATTAAGACCTATAAAATCAAAGAAATTGAAAAACGAGTGTAAAATAACCTCAATCACACATAACAACATTCATTCTAAAAAGAAAATCCAAATTATTCTTCGTGAGCGTATGTGCCGTTGCTAAATGCTAAAGGATATGACCATGACATCATCAGCGTAACAGCTCTTATACATTTGCATAAAGACAGTCTGCTTTTGCATGTTATGTGTGTGCGTTCATTGATCCTGTATTTCAGCATATTTATATGTATTTATATCTGGTTTGGTAGAAGAAATATATATATATATGTGCTAATGTATCTATTTCTCAGTGTAAGAGTGAAAAAAAAGAGATT